TCCTGGAACTTCCATGCTCCCTCACACCAAATCTTTGTACACGCTAAGCTTAGGAACTGCTGCAGAACTGCAGTCAGGAATTATAGGTTGGTCAGGAATTACACTCACTGTACTCTCATGTTTTTCAAGATCCTAATCCACCTGTATTGCATCTTACATACATATGGTGACATGGTGCGACGTAGTTGAGATCTGACTGGCAGAGTTGTCCTGAATCACCATCTCTAAGGGAGAAAACACCACATGAATACCATTTCCTTCCAGTTATTGATTCAGTAAATACTCTGTTTTCACGTTTTTTAAAGTTGTTTTATGAACATGTGGTTTGTGGTTTCCACATTCATGATAAAAGCATAACATTTATGCTGCACATCTGTCTACTAAAAACTGCTTTTAAAAACCAACTTCTAGCTGTAAATGAATTTCATTAGCTTATCCCTTGGCCCTGCCCCAGTGTCAGGCATAACAGCCATGCGACAGTGCTGTATAGTGAGTGCAGGTAAACAACTGGAACATTGCACAACTATAGGACAGACTGTGAGAGTGATGAACAAGGCTTCTGGCAGATGGAAGCTCTTTCATACCTGCCATTTTGGAAAGTGTAAAACGCACAGATCACTACAGCAGCTAGACTTAAAAGATGAAGATGCTTACAACCCTTGGGAAAAAGTCAGGGTGCTCTATGACCTTTTGCAAGTATGGTTTATTAACATCCAACTAAATTGGTTACAGAGACAAAAATAATAAATCAACTTGTGCACCAAGGTGCTCCAACATTGTTACAGGTTTTTGGAGTAAAAGCAGAAACCAGGAACAATCCTGACTACAGAAAGTTTTCTCAAAAATCTGGAAGTCAGTGATAATTCTAACACGAGATACCTTTCTTCATTCTGAAATCACTAATGCCCTATCAAAACAAACAACAAATTCAGCATTTAGCAGCTTTGCTTATGCAATACCTCATACATGTGGTATGTATTTCCAGTCCTGGAGTGAGTAAAATACTGTTAACATAAATACAAGACTGCCTGATTCTCAGGGATACCAGCAATCTCCAAGGTGTGGCACTGAAGGAGCTCATCACCTCTTGTGGATCAACCTCCCAAACATTCTCATAAGCTTTTATACAGTTCTGGTTCATACAACAAAACCATCAAATCCACAATTCGTATATAAAAGGAACTGCTTAAAATAATTGTTTAACATATGGCAGCTATGTATGTGGAAAATCTCTTATTGCTTTCAAAAGCTGCAGCAAGAACAGTATCTAAGAACTCAGCAGTACAACAATACATTTGGTGGTAAGGTACAGCATTTACCAAGTTTCAACAGAGAAGCCAGACAACATGTGCAGTTTCTTATGAACCCACAGCTGCTGGAGTAAGTTGCACCCACCAGTAGCTAGAAAATAGAAAGGATGAGTTAGTGAATCCTGTGACTTTATTTATAGTAGGCATAATCCATGAATGAAAACACACTCAACCAAAAAAAAACCTTTTTCTCAAACATCACTCCTTTGAATAGCACCATCTGACTCTAGCCCTTGCAAGATGTATTCAGTTGTGGAAAAGTTGGATTTCATCTTTCCCTTTTGTATGCAAAAAGTGCTGTATTGAATAAAACAATAGATGCTGGAAACGTCCTGCTCTGCAAAGCCGGGCATCTAGAGACAACAGAAGAGATGCACAAAAGCAGAAGCAAGGACACTGATCAGGAGTATACTGATCAGACAGAGCTCATGTACGTTTCCGTAGCATGCCACCCTTACCACGCCTGACTCCAGAGTGCAAATGGGAGGAAAGTCTTGCTCAGAGTAAAGGAAAACATACAGAAGTAGGTCACACTGTTTAGAGGGAAAGTTTTTAACTAAATCTTAGGCGTGATTTGTTGTTTAAAAGCTTGTTAGAATGGACTGTTCTTCTATTCTTCAGATTGTTTTTAATAAAGAGAAAAGAGAAAAATGGAATGCTGAATAAGGACTGTTAGACATGAGGGGGCACACACAGGACTGCAAACACCTGAGGCATGGGAATGGGTGAGGTTAGGTTGGTTTTTGGTTGAGTTTTCTGGGACCAGCACTGGACCCTTGTGCAATCCAAAAGCTGCCCCTGGTTGTATATTCCAGCCCCATTGTGTTCTTTTTGTACAGTGATCTGGCTTCAACAGTAAACTGCCAAATAGTAAGGTGACCGTTTGCAACCAGCACCTCCTCCAGAGGCCAGGTTTTAAAAGCGGAAATCCTGCTTCTAGTCCTTAAAAAAAACTTGTTGATGGAAGAACAGCTCTTTAGGATGTTTCCTTATCAAAATTCTGGCTGGTTTTGCTCTTCTTTACAAGCATCTGATTTTCTAAGTTCTGTATACAGAACCGATACAGAACCTAAGTACTTTGCTGTATCTGAAAGACGTACATCAGTGCTGGCAAATCAACACAAAGCATATCTCGGAGAGCAGAGATACAGAAAGAAAGGCAGCGATTAATGGGGTATTTCAGTTCCACTCAGTCTTAAGCGTCCTTTGTGCTACCAAGAGTAGCCTCCTAAACAAGTGACACTGTTCCATAATCCCATTGTAACAAGTGTTAAGCCTGGAAGCAGAGTTGTAAGTTTCTGCTTCTATGACCACTATTTCCCTGGATTTTTTTTGCTTTCTTTGCTATGTAATTTCAAAACTGAGCCAGTGTTTTAAGACCCAAGGGCTCAGTTTTAGCTGCTTAGCTGTTCCATCATCTATCGTGATACAAATTCATTGTGAGTGGTTTACCCTGAAGGGATTCACAAAGAAAGGCAGTGCTAGATGAGTGCTTCTCAAACTGCCCTCCCAAGTCATACTTAGTAATGTTTATATAGTTATCAAATAAGAAAGCTGTAACAGCAGGCAGTGGGCATCAGGAAATTTTAAGACTGATCCACTGAGCTGAACAGCTTGGGGATCACTGCTGCATATGAAAGGAAGCAGTAAGTTGTCCAGTGTGTTCTTTTCACCATACAGAGTAGAAACAGGGGAGGGAGAAGTCCCTCTATGTCAGTTATTAAAAACAACAGTCTTAGTTATATTGCAGAAAGCTACTGCAAATTGTGCACACATTAACACATACAAAGTTTTGAGGAAGAAAATTCCCAAAATTTCATATTTTAACAAGAATAACTGTATAGAGTATATTAAGGTTTGTGATAATGAATATATTTTTATGCAGAAATACACAGAGAAAACATCAAGACAATTTTCTTCCACAGAAGCTTAATGACTAAACCAAAACAATACAAAAGTAAGCAGGGACAACTATGCTGCTGTCGGAAACATGGGGTCAGAGGATCATTCACAACTTGTCATATTGTGTTTGCAAATGTGTCAAGAGATTTACAAAAGGAGCTACTACTTGGGCAATGATTTTTACTTCATGTATTTAAGAAATGCCCTGGATTATTCTCATGCATTATTTTTCTGGAGCTGATAGTGAAATTCTGCAGTTTACCTTCTTGATATGGGAATTTTGCTGAAGAATATTTTATATAAGGCACTAAGCCAAATAAATGCTTCTTGTCATTTATGTATTTTAGATATTTTGGACTGTTAAGATAAATGGCAACACTGCCAGTCTGAGTTCCCAAACATCAAAACCACCAAATATGAGATTAGTTTCATTTAAAACCTGCTGATTTTAATGCATGGGAATACTGTGCCTTTTGGCAACTAACTCTTTAATTTCAGGTGCTATCAACTATTAGTTCACCTGTCAAAGTACGGGGAAATCCCCCCATACAGACAAAATACAAACCCAGCAATCAGATCAGACAGTAGTCACAGTAGCTGCCAAATATGACGATGAACAAGTTTACTGCATTGTCCACATATTGTTCCCTTTCTTAAAAGTTTTTTTATTTAAAACCCTAATTTGTTGTTAAATGAATGTTAGTTTTAGTATAAATGGTAACTACCGACAGCAAGGATAATTACAAATATCAACTCATTTCTTTGCCATATTTTGATAGTACAAGAATAAAACACAGGAAGGGAACAAGCCACGAAGAGATCCTCACTTTCCTTGAAAAGCCAAACAGCCCCCAGAAGTTAAGATTTCCTTTGGAATCAAAGCCCAGATTTTGTCTTTATAGTAATGTGAAGCTCGCCTTGTTGCAAGTTGCTGGATTGTAGTCAAGTATTTAAAAGACATATTAAACAGAAAGAGTAATGCTGACTTCTTTGGTAATAAGTTACAGAAATGATAGTGCGGCAGAGTTCCTAGGCAAAGGGAAAAATAGTGAAAAATCATTCATCTCCCCCTAAGAATATGGAGCTTCAAGGTAACAGAAAGCAAAATTCAAATATACATCTAATCTGACATCACAGATTTGGTTTAACATGGAAGCTTTCATAGTATTTCCTTCATGTTACATATAACAGATGGATCCATCTTGAATGGGTTTTCTTTAGCACAATGCAGCACACAGTAAAATGCAAGCTTTTCAAAGCTGCTACCCCCCAAGGAGTCTACCTTATCCATGCCATGTCCAGTTGTTCCAGTCATAAGCCAGTCTTAACATGCCAACATTTGGTTATGTTTTGTGTTACTGAAGTGGCATGTAAGAAAAAGAAAAGAGGGGTGGTGGTGGTGGTGACAAGATACAGGTCTATAACCGTGTTGTTGCCAGAGAGGTACACAGATCATTCATAGAACAGACCTGAAGAATCATGGGTCAGGTGTGAACTGCAGACAGGTAGGAATTGTGGCATTGTGATTTGATGGAAAAACCAAGAACACTGCCCATCTCTATAATCTTCATTCAAAAGTGCAACTTCTGCTACATTTGTTTCCTGCTGAATTTCTGACCTATGGTTCAGTAGTCTCATAAATCTAGCCATATGTGTGAAATTACAGGAAAGGGATGCAACTGATTTAGTGCAAGACATTTGAATATTTATCTGAACATAACAAACAAACAGAGGAAGATCAAAGACTCCATACACTTCTCCATAAGGCAGATGGTCATTTTTTAAATATAAGATCTTAAATATGTTGTTTATTTCTTAAGAGGTAGAAAATATCAAAATACTAAGAAAAAATGTCTAGCTTAAAACAATCAGTTTGCTTACTTTTTAAAAAGTCTTACTGGTGCAATTTTTAGGTTAATAAAAACAAATGAAGCTATGGAAGCACAGGATTTCGTGCTCTGTATAGGTTTTATTTACTGGAAAAAGAGAGCTTCTTTGTCTACTCAGTGCTCAAGCAGTATATACACAAAGGATCTCCTCCTCTTGCCCTGTTGGGGGCTATAAATCTAAAGTGGAATTTTTTCCCAGTGGAAAATTTTGGCGAATCCTGAAGTTCTAGCACTACACTTAGCTGGGTACAGTTTACATATAAGGCAGTAGAACCATTGATGTAAGCTCAGAACTACCTCTTCCATAATGCTAAGAAGAAAGCTAATAGAAACAAAAGCTTAATTAAATCTTTTGTACAAGCAGCAAAAGATCATACTCAGCTTCCAACACCAGCTGTCATCCTGTTTTAGCAATTTATACCAGCCCAGAGGCAGCCAAATTAACTACTGAATTGTGGCAGCCTACCTACAATTTGAGTTACTAAGGCTTGCACTCTGATTTCTCAGCACAGCTAGAGTACTGCTGATGCCACTGTCTCCACTGCAATTCAATAAGGCATTAAGTTAACTCAGAACTGACATTATTACACATTGGAAAGTAGTGTAAAAGCTCCTCTTTTCCCTCTTGCTGTTAACATTCAGTACTATTTTATTAAATATCTTATAAAAAGAACTCAGGCTATTTATACATTCAAACAATCACTGCAATAGAGTAAAGGAAATGAATTACTGGATTCTAAATTAAGAACAATTCTGGAGATATGCACACTTGCACACATACACACACCCCACACATATATTATATGTGTGTGTGTATATATAGATATATTTATAGATAGGTATATTTTATATATACTTCTTTTAAATTGGATCCAAGAATGCAGCACAGAATATCTTCATTTAGCTCCTCTTTCACCAGAGGACAGGATTGTCCAGTTTGGAAAAGCCAGGTTCTTTTCTAAGGTCCATGTAGGTTCCGTTGCTCACCCAGGAGTCATCATTTGATTTCCTATTAAAGATTAAACAGATGTCTTAAATGTAAAGCTTGTATTTTCCATACCCATGCTGTGTAATGCAATGTAGCACTATGCAAAAATACCCAATCCAGCCCACAAACCAGGTGCAGCCTTCAAATAGGGCAGTATAGCTTGGAGAGTCAAACTGTATGTCTGCACTTGGCCTTGAAGATAACACCTCAGTAATCTAGTGTGCAGCTGAGATCAACACACCTTCTGCACTGTCACATACCAGTGCTTAGCACCTAAAACTAAATAAAGTCCACGTTTATTTCATAGTCTCAAAGGCAGCTTTGTGTGGATAAGTGGAAATATTCCTTTTCCCTCTCTAAAGATGGCTTGCCATAGTTACTGCATAAAGAGAGCCTGTAAGCTCTCAGTCATGAGGCAACCCTCATTGCACTAGATACCTTACCCTGAAAGAATCAGTCTGCTTTTAATCTAGTGTGCAACATTTCTCACACAATAAACAACTATTTTGAAACTAAATCAAGGGTTGTAACTTGTTGAAGAGAGAAATCAGTACTGAAAAGCCAAATGCATAATTCATATCTTCTCTAACACAAGGTAAAACTTCTGCTATATAGTAATTAAACTCTGTATTCTGTTAATTTAATCTACAGCACAAATTTCAGTTTTCAAATCATTGCTGGAAGGATTCAAATCCTCACTTATTCACAATTCTGTGAGTATACAATTGTGAAGTATTAGACTTTGCCTCTGTTCTGCTGGAAGCAACAGTTACTTCTCTTTAGTAGGCGTGATTGATGTGGTGAGTTAGCTCACCAGCCAGTCACACATCTAGTGGTCTAAGCCATTCCCTTTTTGCACCTATTTTAAATACTTTTGTGTTCCTCAAAAATACATTACCTATGCATCCAGAAAAAAATTATGATCCCAGATTTGTTAACTATGATACATAGGCCCATATAACATTCACTTAGGCTCCAACTCTTTCAGTGCAGAATGGGAGGTCAAAGGCCATGTCCTCACTAGCATTCCTTTTTGACTTTCGATAGCTGAAGTCCCCTGTTAATTGATTTACAACAGGAAGAAACAAAGTGCCCTCTGAATGGTAATTCTCTCCCCATAAAATAGAGGAAACATGTCCAAAAATGGCCCTGGAAATGAAAGGCTCCAACTCTGCAGACTTCTGCACAAGGCAATCCCACTGAATTCAGCAGCAGTTCAGAGAGATAATTAAGCTAAATCCAGCCACTTGACCTTGTTTGAAAGAATCAGAAATTCTACATTCACTCAGGCAAATTCAAAGAAGTTGCCATAAAGGTAAAAAATTAGAAAGAAATTCAGGGATGCAGTAATGAAAAGACAATATATAATTCTGAGTTTTAACTAAGTCTGGAGATTCTACATTCCCCAGGTAGAAAAATCAAGACTGCAGAAGAATCTGGAAAAAAATGGATCCTGCTTTATGGCAGGTTAGAACCAGATCTATAACAAGAATTGCAATACATGGTAGTACATGTTACTTATTATATAGTACCTGAAAAATCTAGGCTGATGCTCTAGATTGTTTTCTTCCAGCACCTTCCGTCGTTCTCTCTGTAGCTGCTCAATCCTCTGCTTCTGCATTTCAGCTCCTTCAATATTCCCTTCTTCTAGAAACCTGTAGCACCAGCAGCGATGAGAGAGACAATTGGTGTTCATATTCCCCATCTTTGCCAGGTCCTCTAGAGCTCCAGAATCTAATCTTTGCAGCAGGCAGTTCACAGTGTTTGAAAGATGAACAGCCACATCTGTAGGCAGCTGCATCATCCGAAAGCACTTCAGGAAAAGTAAGTCTCATGACAAGCTCAGAGGTGTAGTAATTTTGTATTCTTTTACTTGGGAATTAGAAACAGCAGAAATTCCACTGCAGAGAGAAGTTTCAAGTGCCTCAGTTTTTGGCTATTCAAACACAGGACACTCAACATCCAGTTGTATACTGTATACCTGAAGTACTGAAGTTTTAATATTTTTTGAAAGGTAGTTATCTAGAAGCATCGAAGAGCCAATTTAGGAAACACTGCTCCATCATGACTAGACCATCTCTGATAAGTGATTAAAATGTCTGTTTCAGATGAACATTAATGTAGAAATAGAAACACACTGCTGGTATCTGCACAAAATAGCTGGAGCTTAGGGTAAAGTGACCATACAAAAGATGAAGAACTATGTGAGGAAGACACTTAAAACTTCTTACCTTTGGTCTGGCCTAAAACGCGTATCAGTGGATGGGAGTAATGACCTAGCTTGCTGGTCCAGTTCATTTAACTCCAGTGCAAACTGAGTGAATCCATACCACTGTTCATAACCTTTAGGCATTGGATCTACAGAGGAAGAGTAAATTCAGAATCCTAATTAAATACTATTATCTTTAGGAGGAAAATTCCAAGCTCCCCTCACTCATTTGTTCCTCTCCAAACCACAGTTTCAGCTCTGGGAGAATATGACTGTTTTAATGATGGGACAAAAGGCAACATCATGCTTCGTAATTGCCCTGCAACAAAACAGATTTCTGTTCTCTCTGCTGGAGCACCTCCTGTGTGAAGACAGGCTGAGAAAGTTGGGGCTGTTCAGCCTGGAGAAGAGAAGGCTGTGTGGAGACCTCATAGCAGCCTTCCAACAACTGAAGGGGGCCTATAAGGATGCTGGGGAGGGACTTTCACTAGGGACTGTAGTGATAGGACAAGGGATAACGTGTTAAATAGGGGAAGTTAGGTTGGATATAAGGAAGAAGTTCTTTACTGTAAGGGTGGTGAGGCACTGGAATGGGTTGCCCAGGGAAGTTGTGAATGCTCCATCCCTGGCAGTGTTCAAGGCCAGGCTGGACAGAGCCTTGGGTAACATGTTTTAGTGTGAGGTGTCCCTGCCCATGGCAGGGGGGTTGGAACTAGATGATCTTAAGGTCCTTTCCAACCCTAACGATTCTATGATTCTAAACAGAAGGTCATGTTATTGTCATACTGCTTTTTTCAAACTACAGTAGACAAAACCCCACAAGTCTGGGAGAAGTTCAAATATGGCTGTCATTACAGAACTGAGCACTGTGGGCTATCTTCCAATGTTTAATACATGAAATACACAACACTTCTCCACACAGGAAGTGGGAGGGTTTGTTCCTTTTTTTCCTTCTTCCTTTTGGGGTCCTCAATACCCACTTCATGCCCAAATATGAAAACGAGGGAGAATGAGGAAAATGCAGGAAGCCGTGGGATTAAGTTCTCTGTATTATTAAAGATAAATTAGGTATTCTCCTGGTCTAAATTTTAAGTGCTGACAAAAATCCAGTATTTGACATAGAAATAACAAGAAGTTGGGGCCTAATAAAGAGATGAAAATAATAAACTTTAAGCAGATCTTAAAGTTCTGCACATTATCCATTCTGATCACTAACTTGCTCTCCATATGCAGTTTGAAGATGAAGTCGTCCCACAGTATAAACTTTCATGCCACTTCCCAAAGAGTCGATGCACAACTTTCCCAGCTTTATCCATGACACAGCCTTCAATCTCATGTGCATTTGGATTCCAATACTTTGCCTAGAAGTAAGAGGAACAAGAGGAAAAAAGGTGCATAAGAGATGAAGTGTGAGTGATTTTGCCATGCCAGTAGCACCATGCAAACAACTACTGTTAGTACTATTAACCAGCTTAATAAAATACTAACATTGAGAACTGTATTTAATTTGTTTACCTTTTTTAGGGGCAGTATTAGATGCCTTGTACTGAAGCAAAAGCTTATTAACACCACAACCTGTCCCTTAAACTCCTCTGAAAACTAGCAAAGGGCTAGAAAAGAGCACTGGGTGAAGCACCATGCCTAAGCCCTGGTTCTATAGCTGGTGAATGAATGTAACTACAGCACATGCCAATGGGTTATCATCAGGCATGTGGTAAACCACTGTCAGCAGACACCTTGTGCCTTCCTCTTTCATCAAACACACAGTAGTTTTTCATCATATTTCTTCCTTCCATTTCCTCATACATTTTTGCACCTCCACTGGAATCACCCGAGAAAGCTGCTGCTTCTGTTTCTTATCTGGCTCTATCTAGTGAACAGCAGTTCCTTCAGAGTTAAAGTGTCTCAAAGAACCACAGGTAATTACAGAGAAATACAGGAAAATAAAGCTCATAAGCAGTTGTACTGAGCTTCAGCAGAGCATCCACACACTGCTGCGTCCGTTAGAAAAGGCACTGCCAACACTGCTGTGGTTATTGCTGTGGTTACCTTTATGAAAGTCAGTTTGCAGTGGCAAGTGTCATCATTGAGGTTTTTGATGATGATCTCTCCATAGTGTTCAATCCATCTTTGCCCACTTAAAATGTTATGGATGCAAGATGTCACCTTGTTCCATGCAAAATGGTCTTTAGAACTGTAAGAAAAATACACACAAGAAAAATCTTATTCTGTGGTCAAATGAACCCTCAACTTGTGGAAAAACAAAAATAATTGTAGAGAACATGATTAGAAAAACCCCACAAAACCATTTTTTTCCCTGGAATGCCTCATGTTCTTGCCCCACACCTTCTCAAAATCAAATCCTATGACAACAATCCTGTCTCCCAGAAGGCTCCTTAAGGGATTTTACTGGTTGATCTGTAACGAGCACTCTGACAAGCCTGCATAGGAACACTGCAGATTTTGTTTTTAATTAAACTATACTCAACACTTACCTACAGTGGCTGCTTACTTACTTAGACAATAAACAACAGATACACAACTGGTTCTGTTTATCATTTACAGTAATGATTTACGTAGTGATGATGGCTATTGGCCTCACCTACAAACCAGGACCCCATGGTGTTATGATCTGTACAAATCTAGGTACAAAAGACAAGAACAGCCATAACACCCTCTCCCAGGAACCCATATTCAAGCAAAAGAATTCATAGCTTCTTTTACCATGCAGTTTGTCCCTGTGAGTTTATAATGCATGAAGCTTGAAATTCAACTCAAGTATGAAACTACCAGTTTTGCTTTTATTCAAGATACACAGGAGTAATGTTTTCTATTTCACCTTTTGGTTTTTATAACCTTCTGAAGAGTCAGTGGTTCTGTTTTATGCTTCAGTTTTTGGTTTGGTGAGGGCTTTTATTCCCTGCCTCCCCCCTCCCCCCGCCCCCTTCCTTTTTAAATTAAATCCTAATCACTAATTCTTCCAAAGGTCTAATACAGCACAGCATAGCTTGGTCTCATCTGCATAACTGTGGCTCCTGTGTGTACAAGCATGTCTGTGCCTATGTGTGAGCAGCAATGCACAGTTGCAGCACTTACGCTGGAAGAGTTACATGTGTTGTACCAACTGGAACAATTTCCATGGACTTTCCCCAGAATTTGTTTTTCCATCTTACATCTGAAACAGGAAAATGAAAGAAAAAGACAGTTTAGTCATAGGCATGCGTGAATAAATCTATTTCTGGGCTCTATTTGATTTTCAAGTAATGAAAAATAACAAAGTGCATCCTAATAAAAGTGTTAAAAGAATGCTGTGGACCTTAGAACATGGGATTGGGTTTGTTTTTTTTCTCATTATATAATGGATTATTGAAGTAACAGAGGTCTAAAAGTCACTTCTCAAGAACTCTTTGAAATGAGAGGAATTTGAATAAGCTACAGACAGCATGTACTTCTCTGGAATTCATCAGGTTTTATTAAGACAGGCTGCTATATCCAGTCTTATTTATATAGTATTCAGTTACTGAATGAATTTTTGGTCAGCTTTTTTGCCATCAACAGGACTCTTGTGTCTTTGTATTTGTTTACAAAACAAAGAATTAAACTGAATAATGAAACCCAGACTAATGTCAAGAGTTCCAATTTCTGTTCAGTGTGGCTCCATCTGTAATAACTCTAATCAAGCCAGCAGAGTCAGTCATAACAGAATTAAAGGTTATAATATGGCTACATTGCCAACTGAAAAAACACTGGGTGAAGGATTTTAACTGAGTTAGAAGTATAGTTATGTTCTGTATACACTCCAAAAATATCCAGCCACACAGGCACTGTGACTGACATCTTCACCAGCATCACAGAGCAAACAAAGCTCCAACGCACTCCTTTTGAAACACAATGTTCAGAGTCAAGCAGCACAATTTCTTACATACTGTAATAATGTCAGCAGAGAAAGACAAGGTAAATATATTTATCCTTGCTGTTATGCTCATTTTTGGATATTGTTTTCAGAAGAGGTTTACACGATCTGCCAAGGCTCCAGATTTAACTTGTAGTTTTTCACACTGTGTTCTAGCTTGTTTGATTTATAGATAGCTTGAGGTACAACTCCTCCTTACTAAAGAATCCCCCTCAACAAATCTGATTTCAAAGAAATGCAGTTATTTGTACATGAGAATAATCAATGTTATTTAAAAAACTTGAGTATTTTTCTAATGGCAGAAGATCCAAGCAAGAGACATGCAAGTAAGTATAAGCTAGCCTTTCTTAAAGTCATTCTAATACACTTTAAGCAGGGAATTTCACATTTTCCAAATTTCTAGATGCCTCATGTAAGACATACAATGAAAATATTCTGAACACTGTAGAAGTAAATGACAGACTGAAGAGTTACCTTGCCAAAAAGCAAAATTCACAGATTCAGCATGGCATGCAGAAATAGGTGGATGGTGACTGACCTAATAGCAAGACGTGAAAGGGGGAAAAAAAAAGATGGACATATTAACACTTGAGCAGTCATTTCAGTTTGGATTCTTCTGTTTTTCTCCATAATTTTTCATTCATATATAGCATTTACAATTTGAACGGTTACTTTCCCTTTGCAGATGTGTCCTGAAGGGGGTGTCAGTGAGATTAATATGGTACTGAGACCTAGGAAGCCTTGAAAGAAATGAGAAGTACTTATTTTAAAAGGCCTGTGAATTTTGTTCATTGAGTGAAAATCGAACTATTTATTTTGTACCTGGTCTCTAAGGTGATAATTATATTTACCCTTAGGATCTCTTAACATATTGACAGAAGCCACACTTTGAGCACACCAACAAGAATAAAATAAGCAAAGGGATAAATTCTTCTGTCTAGCAAATACCCACAAAACCCTGACTATGAGGGATGAGGCAGCAATCAGAATCCCTGAGGGGGGCATGGGTGGAGAAGTCAAATTCCATCTAGCAATCCCTATCAGCTGCAGTGACACCCCCGGTGCTAAACTCTATCCATACACACTGCATTTAATCAGCTTCGAGTAATAGCACGTACATGAATTAGCACAACCACCAAAACAGCAAAGCAAGGACTGTGAGTAAATAAACAAATACACAGTGCAGACTATTAGAAGGAAATAGTAAATAGTGAAGTAACTGCACAAAGTGAAAGCAGCCACCGCTCTTCCTTGGCTGTAAATTCACCCTTCTGGTTGAACACAACAACTGACCAGGACTGTCTGTTTGATGTGCAATGCCTACTGTTCTTTTGACAAAGACAACTTTATTTTCAAGTCCAATTGCTACTTCCCACTATGAATTCAATTTCTTAAGCACCTACATGGCTCAAATGAAGTTTTACTTTCTGCTGACCGACACCCAGCCTGACCCAAGCAGCGATCAGTCCCTTCCAGGTAACTCCCCGCAGTTTATATACTGGGCATGATGTGCTGTAGTATGGAATATCCCTGTGGCTAGTTTGGGTGAGGTGTTCTGTCTCTGCTTCCTCCCGGCTTCTTGTGCCCCTCCTCACTGGCAGAGCATAAGAGACGAAAAGTCCTTAATCAGAGTAAGAGCTACTGAGCAACAACTAAAACATCGGTGTGTTACTGTCACTGTTCTCAGTCTAAAGCTAAAACACAGCACTGCACCAGCTACTAGAAGGAGAAAAATAACTGTTACAGCTGAACCCAGGACAACTAATTAATCTCAGCTATGCCCTAATCCACCAAGAGCAACACTCTCACGGCAGCCAGATTAACCCCAAATGTCACTATAATTCATGGGTTAAATTTAGCTCTTACTTAAACTGTTGTAATTCTAGAATAAGGTCATAGTGCTAAGTGGAGTTATTCTAAACTCACTCTAGTAATAGAACAGAATCTCTGCTGAGGGTTTTTTTTCCTATATTTTGACTATCTATTCCATGAATTACATACTACCTGCGCTAACACATTATCTAGAGTAAGCATCAAAATGCTTGCACAAGCAATAAACAACAGCTCCTGATGAAAAGAGGAATATTTAATGCTTGCAAGCTGCATGAAATGTCTTTCCCTCTATGCTGCCCTTCATTCCTAATATTCCTCCATCCCATATGATTATAGTACCTTTACCACTCCATATATCACATCACTTATATGCTTGTGTTGGAATGATAGTTAATAGCCCAAATCCCCTCATGTATTAAAATTCCTCTTAAAAAATGCAGCCTTTGTACTGATTTATTCATAAACACTCAGACCTTGACGTATACATCCTTCACCTACTAGGCTGTGGTACCAGATTTGAAAAGCTTAGCCCAAAAGTACTTGGATAGAAAGCAGAAATATTCATGGTACCACAGAAAATACTAGTGGTTGACTGACTCACACAAGGGATATAATTGTTATCAAAGAAGACATTAAATAGGTGAAGATACAGTACACGCAGAAGAAAATGACAAGAATGTGAATGCAGTCATGATCAGATTTCAGCATGGGGAACTGCACTCTATTTAAACAAGTTATCTAGTTACTGGAGTAGGCAGCCTGCCAGCCTCTGCTGCTCGAGTGTCAGCTGTTGGTTGTTATGCTCCACCCCAGAATTAGCAGAGTTTCCTCAAAATACAGTTTCCTTCATGTATAATTCTGCAGTGTCCCTTGAGTTTTTGCTGGCCTCGGGTCAAAGTAGTGTTGCATTTTGCTATTAATTCCAGAGGATTCCAGCCATGCTTTTAGAATTAAGCAGTGTATCACATAGCAAATCTAAGGGTTGCAGCATACAATACCTGTTCCGCAAAGAACTGGAAACCCTTATCTTCACGAATACATTCATAGGTTTCTCCAAGCACAGGATTAAATGGCTTACTTCCAGCTCGGTAGTAACTGGAGGCATATGCAGAGACCGCAAATGCAGCTATATACACCTGGGAATAACATACGTGGAACTGTGATTAATTCATTTCTACAGCCAGGCACAATTTTTTTCTATACATTCTGATTTAACAGAAGGAAAGAAAAATTAGGTCATATCCTGACCTCAGATTCTGTATTTTTCCCATCATTTGCAATCTACAAACATGAATGCCTCTTGCAAGTTAAGCACTAGCTCACACGTTAAGAGAATTGAGTTTTCAGAAAGGCATCCACCGGTCTGCGGATGGGATTATTAGGGTCAAACACTGCAAATTTAATCAATGGAAACCAGCATTTCTGAAAGCCATTTGAAACAGTTTAGCATTCTCCAACGGTTAGAGCAGTAACCTTAAAAATCACTATTAGATTTTGTATTATAACTGGCTTTTATAGCTATGGTCTGTGATTCTATGGATCTATCAACTATCCTTTTCCTAAACATGGCACAGGAATTTGGTTTTCACCAAGTTTGTTATTTCTAATGCAGTTTGAGTTGAATTGCCTTTTATCTACTGTGTGCTATTACCAAATTATGAAACTGTTCTTGATTATGACTGAGACACAGGTAACCTTCCCAAATTTTTGCAGTCAACTCAAGCATAATTCCTCCTACACCTGAGGAATTAGAATCTGGGGTTAGAATTCAGGTTTCTCTTGTACCATTTTTCTCCCTTTTAATTTCCTTTTCCCCATCTTCTGAAAGTGTAGATGCTCTCCTTTCACAATTTCTGAAACTGAATCCACTTCAGAATGGCTATTTTATGAGCTATTGCAATTACTATGCAACAGCTAGCATTAGTTTTGCCTCAGGAATTTTTCAAAGGCAAAGAATACTCCAGCCTGAGGTAATTTCCAAATGCTTGGGTGTGGGAAGGAGGGAAAAGGATTTTTTTCATTCCTGTATGAACAACTAACTTCTGCTCATTTCCTTTTCCTTTTCACATATGTTCTCAAAAGAACATGAAAAGCTATGCAATGAAAACCTCAGGAAATATCCCCAGTGAATACTCACACTGTCTTGAGAACAGACACCAAATTGTAACCCTTACAATGTCAAATTGAGCAAGAGGCTTTTCAAACAGTATTTATAACATTTTATATTCATTAATAATCTCATGTTAAGATATATTGATTTAAAAAGGCTTAATTCAATTTAAGGGACAATCTATAGCTTCCATTTAAGAGAATTTAGAGAGCCTTTAATTCTTTATTTATGGGCTTACATATTAAGTAGCTCTTGTGCACCTGGAAGCAGAATGATCGAAATGCATTTTTCTCTTTTTCTTTTGCCAAATGCTGAATTCAGGGTTCTGCACTGACAGAAGGTGACACCATTCTTGTACCCAGCATACACTCATATTCCCTGGTTTTGGGATCCTGAACATTTTGGATCAACCCCAAAACTTCACAAAACCAGTTAATAAAACAAATAGAGCTCATTTAGTCAATATAAAGATATCACAGTAGGGTGGGACTGGAAGATCCACCACAATTGTGTTACCAGATTAGACAGCCTTAAAAAATAAAGGATATTGTAGCTGTCACACTCAAGAGAGAAGTATATTAGTCCATAGTCCCCCCTAATCTTACAGAGTAAGAGCTGCAAAACAGAACTAAATTATTTCTCTGTTTAACCTTGCAGGACAACAAGGTACTCGAGGAGAGAGACTTCCTGACAAAGCAACGGAGATCATGCAGAAGAGTAAAAAACCGGGGGGTTATGTAAGTATGTACGGATAGATCTTTGGTGAGTCTGCCTTTCAGCTGGGAAAAAAACAGAACAGAACATCCTCACTTCTTTGGTAGATTGTTTTTATATTTAACCTATTCTAATTACGCTGAATGTTACTAAATATTTGGAATAACATATTTACCATCCGTTCAAATGGGTTAGGCATATGCGCTGCTTTATCTAGCAGTTCACTGTACTCCAGCTCCTCGCAGAGACGCTGAAGGGTGTTAAGTGGCTCATTTAATTCAACAGGCATGGCCACTTTGGAGAGATCCTTTCCTATGTTATTTCTCAGGATATTCCACAGGCTGATGTTACTTGTATTAGGACATGGAGCTGGTAAACATGTTCTCCGTTTAGAACTGCATCCAATTCCACTTTCAGAAATACAGTCTGAAAAGGAAGCAAGTGGCACAAGAAGTCAATTCACTATTTACTTGGTTTCATCCCCTTTGCAACATATGTTAAAAAGCAAACATCTTTTTTCGGTCAAAAGGTCCTTCCACCCTCACAATTCATTCATGTAAGTATTTCATTTGTGGTTTGAAGATAGGTTCTTATTAAAAAGATAAATTTAAGAATATGATTTTAAACTTCTGTACGTTAACTGAGGTAAATGCCAGGTACAAAATACATAGAAAACTACCTCCCTTCCCCTTACAGGCCATAGGAATGGCTTAGGCTTTACACTGAATTTGAAAGAGTAAATACTATAATTAAGTTGTGACAGAGATGGATTCCTATCTGTTTCAGGGACAGAAAACCTCCCTCCTTGACAGAGCTTCAATTAAGCTGACATTTCTCAGAAGGCAAAACGTATGTTACTGTTCCAAGCATAATAACAGTTCCTACCTATCTTTCTCTGCTTTCTTGAATACTTCTAGCAGGGAAATTTATCACACCATGGATGTATATATACGCAGGCTTTTTCCAAAGTGCTCCCCATAGCACTTAGCATTTAAAATAGCTTTAGATATACCCACATGTTGGGGAAGAATTGGCCTCTTGTAAAGGTGGCAAAGCTGATGTAACTGTGGAGCTATGTGTTTGCTGAAGATATAAAACAAAAAAAAAAAAGAAAAGACTCATGTCAAGAGTCCTTGACATGAATATCTGAAGTCTGTGTTACCATTTCAAAGCAACTGGAACAGGATAAATAGTTCCAAGCGTGCCATAAAATGATTTGTCAAAGAATCAAAATGGAGCTACAAGCTTCTGCAACAGGCATTAGTCTGAAGTGATTACATTGCTTAACTGTGCATCAGTCTCATTTCAGAGGAATACAGCTGCTACTACAAGAACATATTTTATCTTTCAACATCCTTAGAGGCACTTGGGAAGCTCCTAATCGAGAAATAGTCACTGTCTGGAGACATTCGGGTGTCAACCCCTGTCCTCACCTGGCTTTTCCTCACACAGCTTTGCTTTGGGAGGAGTTAATACAGCACTGGGCAGCACTGTGCTACACGTGCCAAAGAATCACTGCCCTTAAATGCATTCTTTCAACCAGTATTTCCTCTTCTGGTCCAGTGACAAGCATGATACCAGCAGTGCTTCCAAAGTGACCGAAAACCACAAGGGCTAACTTCTCCATCACTGCCATGTATGGCGTATGCCACAGATGGAAGTTTTCAAGTGTAATCAACAGCCTTAAAGTTCTGAGGAAGAAGTTTCCATCTTTCCTGCCCCTCACAAACTAAAAGTCTTAATATCACATATGACCAAGTTACTGTAATGAGGACAGGTGAACTATTTGAAGTCTACTGCCTATCTCTTTCTTTCTGCATAAAAATGGCACGGGCAGTATGGATAATAAAAAGAAATCTACCTGAAACAATTATACTGTTAAGAGGTTGGCTCCTATACTTCCCTCTTGGAAGAATTTATTTAATAACAGAACAGACCAAAAAGAAGGACGTTCCCTCAGATACCTCAGGAATGAGTGCATCTCTGGAGAAGGAGGTAAACGTGAAAAAAATTATCCTTGCTCAAAAGAGCTCTCCAAAATGGGATTTGGCTATGCCCTTTGACAGTTTCTGATTAAAATATTATATAGAATATTAATTGAATGAACTACATATCCTGGACCAGCCCATTAATTAGGGTAAACCAGTGACAAAACAGAGTGTACAAACAACTAATGTATTCAGATACCGTATTTTCTATCCAGTGAAGTTTGCCCACCCCCCATGAAAAGAAAAGCCCATGGAGTTCTGGTTTGTAAGAGCTGTGACAAATAGGCAGCAATAATACTGAAGGAGATTAAGACATCTGACCTCCAGCTAGACTCAATGACTTTTAAGGCCAGACTGGACTATTATCATCATCTGGTCTGACCTCCTACATTACAGTAGCCAGAGGATTTTATCATAATCCCACAATTTATGGTTCAGCTAAAGCCCTGTAGGAGAAAGACATCCAGTTTGGTATTAATGAGTGGTAGGCTGCCCAAAGCACAAAAATATCAAGTACCAGAAGCACGTGGCAGTGCTGCTAACACGGAAAAGCTTCAGTAATAGTTTGTGTTACAGAAGATGAATAGCCACACTAGCACAGTTTTCTAAGGTCCAGGTCATGAGATAAGTCAATCTTTAATTTTTTACTATCTTTCAAAAAAAGTCTTAATTTTAAACAGTTACAGAATACCACAGATCTCCAGACATATCAAACTACCCAAATTCATACGGATCTACTGGTCCTTTGAGATGATCAGGAAACAGCTGCTGGTAAGAAATCACCATTCAGCATTTGTGAAGATAAAATATATATATATATATATATACGGATAAAGTGGGAAGAACACTGTGGTTAGCTGAAGGGAGTTGAAGGCACAAACCCAATTAGTTTGTTATGACCAATTCTTTTCCCTCTTTTTTTGATTCTGTCTCTAATTAGCAAGAAAGTTTAATAAACATATGTACTAACAGGACTATCATGATTAAAACATGCAAAAAAGAAATCCTTACAGTCATACACCAGGCCTGCCAGTGTGTAATTATTCTCAAGTTCCTTTAAACACGGAGTTCTACTAAAACCAACAGATCTTGCAATGCGGTGGTTAAATTGCAGACTGAAAAAAAACCCAAACCAGACTGACATGAAGAAAATTACTTTTTGGAAAAAAGGGGGAAAAAAAAGCAAGCAGCTAGGCCTTGCTACTTTGAAAAAATCCTGTAGCCATGAAAGGAACTGAAAAGGAGTGGGAGTTGCACCAGAGCAGCCAAGGAAATAAGTGTTTCTCTGCTGATACAGAACCACCATGCGGCTTAATCAATGGTACTCAGGCTCTGTTATGCAGGTTAATCAGAATGTGCTATTCTAAACCAATCTGAGGCTGTAAGAGAAAAAAAACACACAGGCTGTTTATGTTTCAAAACCTGTAACATCAAATAATTTCTAGCAAGAGAAGAAAAAAAAAAATCCAAACAAAAATAGAGAAAGTTCTCATAACATGGTGTAATAAGCATGGTGCAATAAAACACCAAACTTACCTAAAGTTTGTCTTTCACTCTCTATGTCATTGCTTAGGTTATCTTCTGAGACATTATCACTGATATCACTTGCATATGAGTCATCATCTGATACCTGAGTGTGTGGTGGAGAAATAAGCAAAATAATCAATCACTACCATAACCCCATATACACATGAAAACTGTTACTTACTGCTGCAATTATTATTTTAATAGATTTGAACTATTTAAGATGTGTTTCAGTATCAGAGGAAAGTACTAAGAATTTCTAAGACACAACTGAGTTTGGGAGAGATCACCATCACTGAAAATTCAGCTATCCTTTTAGTGGAGACATGCTTCATCTTCTTGGCCCCACAGCTACGGAGGCTTTGCTCATATTGGAAGCCAAGGTTTTTATGGAGTCTGAAATAGCTAAATGAGCTAGTAAGTTTCAGTATGCATGACATCAGCCCCGAAGTACCTACAGCTACCAGGAGGACAGCTATGAATATATTTCTACAATACAATTTCTTAAGCACCTGTATAATGACTAAAGGCAGACAATATATGCAATTTCTGCATATTAGCTACTTAATGGCCGTTTGCCTCAATTGCATATAAGACTTCTCCATACTAATTGTTATGTTTTACTGTGAAGATACAATGACACCAAATAAATACAGGCAACATATTAGCTTCTAAATGCTTTGAAAATTGACATTTTCTGGCAGTCATCTGATGCGTAGTTAGCACTCAGGTCAAGTAGCAGATAAGAAACTACATCAGAATGATACCAATCTCAATGCTCAGACCTCATTTTCTGAAGAGCTAGCAGACAGTAGGACTTCCTGTGCATCAAAAAATTCAGTGAGAGAGTCAGCTACAGAGAGTCTGCTTTCATTGGAGACCTGGTGAACCAGAGCTCTGCTCTCTTCTCTTGAATTTTCCTGTTTGAAAGAAATAAAAAGTTTTGAGAAGAGAAGCACAACACACAGCATTCAGGCATGCAATTCCAGTCACTTAAAGGGCTGTAAAACACTGGGAGAAGATTGCACATGCTCCTCTCCAATTTAGTGAAAGTAGCATGTGTTTCAGAGGGATTTAAAACCAAAGTAAACTAGGACACAGGGAAGAAAAAGAGAAGGAAAAAAAAGCCCGGTGCATATACAGTACATGGCTTTTGCTGCTGCTGGCCTGTTTGACTGCCATGGAGATCTTGGTAACTCCTCTCATGGGAGCCTTACAGATCACTGGCATAAGCAGAGTCCCAAAAGGTGGCCTAGCAAAGGTGGGATGACCAGTGAGGCTTGGTTCATTTTACAGATGCAGTAAAAGAATCAGAGAATATCGTGCACTATTGTTTTCCCTGATAACTCCAACAATGCTAAGGAAAAGGACTAGCTGACCCAAAGGAGCGTAATAAGCTGCTCTGAAGTTTTTCTGCATGAGATGCTTTACTAACTTGTAACCATGACTGCCCTATGGCAATTCTGCAGGAGGTGTAGTGGTTTACTTTCAGAACAACATAATGAACATTCTGACGAGCCTATAATCAAACCGACAAATCTTCTTTCAAAGTTTTTCTGCTGGCAGATTTTACTATGGTATGGCATGTTATTCATTATGTGCTAATAACGGTGAGATGGTAACAAACCAAACTGCTACCTTACAAAAGACTTTTTTTTTATGAATACTTCTGATACAGCAGCAAGAAGAGAAACCTCAGCATTGCCTCAGCACTGCCTCTTCTGGGGGTAGGCAGTTACACTAGCCTACAAGTTAAAAAAAAATCTTACATACGTGGGCATTGCTACTGGGAATGTTTCCAATAGCATTCTGAATCTGAGAAGGAAAGTGAGCAGGAAAGGCTCATAAAAGAACAGCAGGTTTTATATCTATCACATGAGAGCTTAAGGTTGTCTTCTTTCATGTTGCCACTCTGGCATGATAAACAACAATATAAACTGCCCAATAAACAAACTAAACTTCACCTTACGCAAAAGCTTGGGATACTAGTTTATATTGCTTCAGTTTTCACAGGTCTATCACAGCACCGGATGTATCATTTAGAGCCAAGTTTTGTGCAGTAGCCCTGTCTTCTTCACAGCAGCATTTCTGGATCACAGTCCTCCCACAGATAGAAAATGAAACTTCTCCAGTATAAGAAATTTCATCCTTAAGTTCCATCCCAAACCAGGACAGAAGGAATTTGTGAACTGAATCTCTAAAGAACATTCTGAAAGCTATTTTTGTTGTGTGTGTGTACTGCATAGAACAAGTATCAGAATCTATTATCATTGAAAGGACTCCCACTAAATAAGGAAATAAAGAACTCCTGAAAGTAAAAACAACAGATTAATGCTTGCATGGATAACAATTTAAGTGTTGTTCAAATTCTCATGGGATTAAAAGCAGAAGGCATTAGAACAATAAACTACCTTAAAACTACCTCAAATAGGAAGAAAAGCTCCAACAACCACCACCAAAAAAGCCCTGAACAGCTAAATATTACCAAAACACAGCTCTACTAAAACAGAACTAAATCAGAAGTGAGCAGACGGAATGACTAAATGGTCTTTAAAAATAAAAGGAAATAATAAGTTATATAAAACCCCCAGCATTACATCCACTCAAGTTCTAATGGGAGATTTAGAATACAACTACAGCAGAAGTTTCTGTACAAGTTAACATTTAGAAAAATCCATCAGAAATAGCACAGTTCTTGCTTCCCTCACTAGCACTATTAACACCTAGATCCCATGGCCTATAAATATACCACATTCACCTGCATTCTGCAGCAAGCAAAAAAAGTGTCTGAAAATCAGTACATCTCCAATTGGCTAACTGGGTATGTAGAAGACTCCCTGTCTTCACACAAAGAAAACTAAATGGCAGAAAGTGCTCTTGTACATCTCATATTTTTGACCCTTTCATGGAAATGTCTGATAGTTATTCTAAGCCTTACATGATCCACACTGCTAGCCACTGGTTTGGGCTAACAATATTTAAACAGGCAACAGAAAGTAGTACAGAAGTTGAAAATTAACAAGGGAATAAGGGGGAGAGAAACAGTAGTAGTACAAGAGTAACAAGGCAGCAGCTTTGCTCACGCTGAATGGGAAGCAGGCAGGAAGCAAGGGAGAACACCAGGAACCAGTAGCAAGAAGCAATGGAAGTGTGCTTAGGAAAACTGCTCACCAGGGAAGTCTTTGAAATCAAATATTACACAGTACATCATCAGAAATGACTCATAACCACAAAAGCGGACTTGTTTTACTAACACAATACACCATAGCAAAGATGTTAAGAACAGGACAAGATGCAGCTGTGCAGCACTGTCTAGGTATAGGGGCTTGAGGAATACACATCACTGAAAGAGGAAATCCATACCTACCTTCACCAAATCTGGACTCGATTTTGCATTAGATGCTGAATCAAGGATCATAGATTCGGCATGTATTCTGCATAACCGGTCTTTAAGATCTGTGTTTTGTGCTATTGCCTGGAATATTTAACAAAAATATTGGGAATATAAAGTTCTCTTGACTAATTTGAACTTGGCTTTACTGTGTAAAAAGGGGCTCAGATTATTTAAAGTGCAGTATAAAAAAACACTACTGTATGATTTTGTACTGGTCCAGCAAATCATTTATTATAAATGCTTCAAATCTTGCTCATCTCTAAAATTAAAACAATTTTTTGTTCAGTGTGAGGGAAAAGACACATAAATGGAGGAAAAAAGCCAAAGTTGGCAGGGATATTTCAAGTCAGCAGGTTATGCAAGCTGATTTAGTAAGTTATAAATGAATTTTCCTCATCTTTTTATCTTTCCAAGCTCCTTTCCTATCTCCAACCTAGCCTCTCTCAACATTAAATTCTTACTCTTGCCACCCTCAAAAACATTTGATTTTCCCGTCAGCCTGGTATAATGACAGTTCCCTTTGCCTTCCACCGACAGAGAAATAAGACTCAAATTCAGGCAGGTATGGTTTGTGTCCTACCAGCTTGTAGTGGCAATGATCAGAATAAAAAGCCTCTACTGCAAACTCACGTTTGTTGTATGTTATTTACACATGCTGCCTGCATCTGATGGACAGATGTCAGATAGAGTAGACTTGTAGGCAGAGAATGCAACCTTGCCCACAATGAAAGTATCTCTGAAAGAAAAGATTGGGTTACTAATTTTGGAACAATGCTGAAGACTTACTGCCCATTTTAGTGATCCGAATCTACACTAGGATATGGAAAACCCTGCTGTTTACACATCCACTTGTCCCACAAATGCTTCTGATGTTGACAGTAATTTTTGTTGGAAATAGCCTTGAGGACAGGAAAGACTGTAAGCTCAAAGTAGTGATGGAGGGGAGAAACTAATTTCTGGCTTTATGTATGTGTGGTCTGAACTTGACGCACAGGCATGTATCACTTCTGCGTCAGGAGTTCAAGTGGACAACATTGTATTATACCAACATCAAACAAGTGGGAAAAAAATATTTACACAGCTTCCCTGTAATAGCATCTTCCAATTCTCATTGTTTGCTACAAAGTGTTTTCTTCCTTCTATTGTCTTCTTCCTGCCTCCAAAATAAAAATATTCTACTTTTCCCCACTGTATTTGCTTTTCTTGGACTTTGTGTAAGTCAAGGTTACTATGAAGGAGAAGTGGAGGCAGAGATGCAAATTTTGTGGTGTTTTATTCACTTTAAATCTGTTCGCTTTTCTTCCCCTGCCAGGCTGATGACAGCAAAACAGACATAAGCTTGATACTTTTCAACCTGTGAGTGTGATACTTGGTTCCTCATCTACAGAAAACAAACTGAAATGAACAGTAACACTAAATCAAAGTCATCAACACAGGACTCTCTTGCAAGGAAGCCTTAGAAATATGTCAAGTTTATTATATCTGTGCTTCCATATGTCTTCAAAGGAAGCTTATTCCTTTCCCCTACAGGATCTCTGCTGTACAGGGTGAGAAAATTTCTGTTGGCATCATGGCTTTACAGAGCTGCAGGCTAAGAACAGCTCTCATGGGTGTTAACCTCTGTTGAAACTGCCAAGGTTCACAAATGACTTCTGTATGGGCTACAAAAGGCTTATTAAGTATCAAATAAGACCTAAAAGCATGAATTTTGTCAGACATTTAAACAATGAAGATGGACAACAGAATTCCACTGCTCAGAAAAAAGACTTCATGCTAAGCTGAGTGTTCACTGAGTTCAGAAATCTTTAAAACAGGCTTTTTGATATGTGAGGCAAATAACACTGGAAGCACAAAAGTCACCTATTCAAACATCAGAAGGTGAACATCTGAAAGCCAGAAACAAAGAAGTGCAAGTGAGTGAGTGTAGCTATTACACAACAGGTTTCAGTTTTATCTAATTCCTATAGACATCATGGCCTCTAAGGGTCTCCGCAAAGAGGCATGTTATACGCTTAAAAAACTGTAACCATATGCAGTTCCTGTAAAGCAAAGGGAAGTTTTCATACTGAAATAATTCTTTAGTGATCTGTATCACATTTATCAATACCAGAGTCTCCCCTGCCTCTGATTAGGAATTTGCAACAAACACTGAGATTTTAAGACCATGGTAACGATGGCCCTCATTGCTTTTGAAATCAGACCACTGATTGATACATTCAAACAAGACCAACCTAAAAGTTCTGGTCTTAACTAGTTAACAAAAAGCACACCATCCAAAAACCTTTTTAAAGCGCACAATCTTTGGTCATTTAGAACTCTGGCCTAACAGCTGCATTACTACTTTTAAACAATTAACTGGAAGCCAATACTAACACGTTGTATTTGTATTTGCTTTGCAGTATCTTGGTGTAGCACAGTGAAGCTCTAGTGCATTAGAAGGGACAGCTGAGCGCTTTCAGCTACTCTCACCTTTATTTTATGCCAAGTCATACAGTGCTGCTTAGGAAAAGAAAAGGAAAAAGAAAAAAAAGGAAACCCGCAAACTACCAGAACTGACTGATTAAATGGTGCGTGTTTCAAGAGAAAGTAGACATCATTACAGAACAGCCTTCTGTTTCTTAACTTTAAATGATACATGTTATACTGTATACCAAAATTAATCTATCAAACTTCAGCGATTTCACAATACCTTTAACATTTAGGAAAGAGTCTTTGAAAAATACCATATATAATAACATACTATGATTCAATACTGAAAATTCTAGCACAGAACAGACACTAAAGAAACAAACTATTGTGAAATTTTAAAGTAGCATCTGACAACCATGAAACTTGCTGAACTTCAGCATGTCACTTACAGATGTTAAGGCATTCTTCAAGCCAGCTATTTGTGCAGATGGAGATGAGGATGCATCGTGGTCCAGCATCTGCTTCATCTTTTCCCTCTCTGTAGATATAGTACTGAAAGCTGACCTCAAGGTGAAGTAAACTAGAAGCATTTCATTAAAAGTGAGTTAAAACCAGCTACCAATTGTTCACATACCAACTATATAAAACTTCAATGAAACATCATTTATGGTGACAGAAACAAGAATTTACATTGAGAGATCCAGAGTGGGTTACTAAAACCAAGTAATATTAATGAAGGTTATAGGGTAGAGTTTTTAGTAGGAGAAACGTTTATGGTGAATGCTACCATGTTGACTATATTAGGCACAGTCAAAATTACTCTGATTATTTGTGACAGATGGTGACAAAGCTAACTAAACCACATCTGCTCCTCTCTTGCTTTTGTTCCCCAATTAGCTTGCACCTTCAGATGGTCATGACTCTAATCCATACTCCTTTAAGAACTCCAGTGGGGGAGAAGAGAGGGAAGAAAAAAAGTAAAATAGAAAATAATATCAAAAAGCATCTATAACACATACTGTGCCACAGCTACGGGGTTAGTAGCTTCCCCACAAGCAAATCGACTGTGGTGTTGCATTTTGTTTTCCCTTTTGAGGATAAGAAAAATGTCAGCTCGTTAGATGATTTAGTCAGTCAAAGGGTCAGATCCTGAATGTTGTGCACATTACACTGCTATTTCTACTCCCTCCTGAGCCAGTATCACCAGCCTGAAACATTGAAATCAGACAACAGATCATACAATTTTTTAAATCACTGGATTTTTAAAAGGGAATGCACTTTCCTTTGGGTTTTTTCTTTTGTTGTTTGTCTTTTGTTTTTACAATTAAAACATTTTCTCTTTAACCACAAGGAATAAAAATTTATTGGAGTGATATTTGTTTATGTAGGATTTCAACATTCATCTAGCTGGGGAATCAGAGAATTTCCGAGGGCCTAATCAAGCCTTGCAATACAGTCACAAAATCTGCCAGTGCAAAAATGTATCCATTTACAGGGATATGGAGATATAAAATCTGAGCATGAATGCATGGAAAAGGTAAAGAACAAGAAATCTCTTTTACCTCTCTCTTCTAATAATCCACTCTGGGTTAATGCGAATCCTCAATGCTTCATTAAGTATTTGATGTAACCTAATTTCCTCTTCTAAGAAAATATTTTTAAGGTATATTTCAACACTGTGAATCATTACTAAAGCTAATTCTCTAACTTTAACCTACTTGGAGAACTCTTTAACAGTATCACATGTGGGGGGAGGAAGATGTATCCGCTACAATCTATTGTAAGCCTTTCAGATATGGATGACATGACCTGAATCTTCAATGACCTTAAATGTCATTTAGTAATTTGTCATTTACTGAGTTAGGTTTTTCAAGAATTATTCCATACTAAAGTACTAATGTTACATTTTATTTAATTTTTATCAAAAGCCAAAGCAAAAGTTTTCATCACTACCCTTTTTTGGAAGGTGTGTGATATAAAACAACTTTGGAAAAAAGTTATTAGTATTCTTAATAAATTGACACTGTATTAAATAGTACCAAGTCTACTGTCTCTCAAATGTGTGGGTCAATCTAACCAAAGTTTCTGACATGGACATTTCAGGTGAGATCATCCTGAGTAGGTGATTTCTTTGCTCTGCTTAACAGCAACTTGTCCAACTGTGCCCTACTCCCACTTCTTTTCTCTTTTCGGAAAACATACACCAGTTTTGACTATAACCGACTTTATGAAGTTTACGACTCTGATACATTCCTTATGTAATGGAATCAAGATACATTAGCACCAGGGGGGACAACAAGCAAAGAATGCCTATTGGTAACATCAACCATTATGTTGTGCAAAAGGGGACAAAGCCAGTACTTCCAGAAGCCTTTCAGATATAAATGCTGAAATGCCTTTCCCACCAACATCACTTAAAACTATTAAAATATTACTGGTGTGAGGGTGATGGAGCAAAGCACTGCTAATGAAAAATAATTTGGAGAGAAGAAACATTTCTAGTCCAGCTGCCCCTCTGGCTGCTTTACAGGGTATTCTCTTCTGTATTCACTAAAAATAGGTTACTACCATAGCAACCCTTGCATCACCAACAAATTTTGACTGAAATACAGTGAAGCACACCAAGTATAGAAACATACATGTGCTCATATACACACATATGCATGCAAGCACAAAAGAGTATAATCTGCTGTTGTGTTTGTAGCAATTAAGTTTAGGATTTTTACCTTTTGGCAATTTAGGTCTTTAGCACATCAAAGAAAGTGCTGCCCTTCATTAAATAAAATTTTTTTAAAGTGATGTTTAAGATACTTTTTTTCAAATGACTCAAGAGCTCAACATTTGCAGTTCCTCAAGAGAATTAAAAGCAGGCAGGGCATTTTCTGCTCTTTCTAAACATTCTCAGAAGTCACATCATTATTTAAATCACGATAATATACAGCCACACACAAAAGACAATTTCATTTACCTTTATGTGCAATATGAAATAAGTCCTCTTGCATTTTAGTAAATTCTGATGATGTTTCAGAGCCATCGGAGTAATTTTTCTCCTCTACGAAATCTATTGTAGATAAGTTTGGATTGGAAGCATGCAGTCTCATAGGGGCAGAAAATACTGAAGGCACCTGTAAGGAGGACAGCCATTCATGATGGTTTTACAAACTATAAACGAAAGTTTGGTTGTACCCAGCTGCATTACATGTTGGAGGCACCAAAATGGAAAAACTGACAACTACCAATAGTCTTGGAAGTACATGGCATATGAAACCATAGATACGACTTTTCCCAAGATATTGTAATTGGAAATTCAGTGAAACTCCAAGAAACAAGCTCTTTGAGAGCTGTAGCATATGCTATATTATTTTTCCTCACTTATAAGTATCTAATCGCTTCATCTCTGGATGCAAATGTGTACAAATATACCTGGAGAAATTACAAAAATCTGTACTGATAAGCCCCAACCAACCAAACCAAAACCACAGCAAAACACCACCACAACCCCCCACATCGGAGGCAGGTTGAAAACATGAGTAAAAAACATGGCCAGTATCCTGAAAGTAACAGCGCAAATCCTATTGTGGATAGCAATAACAACATATTCATGTTTTGTCTGATATATTACCACTTAAAATGACGTAGCACAGGACACTACTTAGAAAGTAGTCATATTTCCTAAACTGGTCACACCCAGAAGTGATCAATAACTAAGATTTAGAGAAAGATGGGCACTGACTGAGTCTACCTGTAACATTCCTTTAGGCTCTTTCCCAACAACTCTGGATCGCCACCTCCTGTGTGTCCTTTTTTCCTTCTTTGGGCTTTCAAAAGGTCCAACCTTTTAACACACAGGACAAAAATAATACAGATTGCCATAAAATCAGCAGAGCTAAGAATACTCTGATCCATTAGTATTTGGGTTGATGTTCGGAATTGCAAGGGAAAACTTTTTTTGGTTTTGTTTTTTAAACAACAAACCTGCATAGCATTTATAGCAGGCGCTGAGTATGTCCTGTGAAGAACATCCATGCTCTGTAACAGCTGGTTCATTTCCAGTAAGTATGTGTGACAGTTGGAGAGCTCTGTTTTGAACAAGAGAATATTTTCAGTTGCCCTAAAGTAACAGACACGGGGAAAGTTTTTTTCTTTGTAGGTTAATTTTGATTGTAACTAGGTTAAGTTATTCATTGACTAAAAGCTCATTCTTAGACAACTGGCTAAAACACTTGTATTCTACCTTCAAGTTCAGTATATTTAAATGCATCTATATGGTGTGTATAATGACCATGATACTTTGTCCCAGTTGGTTGCAGAAAAATGTGAATAATGTGATAATTACTGCAGTTTGGGACCAGTCAGAGCTCCTCATGGTGAGGATAACAATGCCATAAGCATCAAGACTGAACTGTACATTCAGATCCTAGATGAGGCACCCCTGTATTAGAGCTGAAGCTCACTGGTAGTTAGAACTAAGTGTCACACAGTGTCTGTCACACAGACACTACCAACATGAGAAAGATCTTCATGCTCTTAGGAAAGCATGAAAGCAGAAGGTGACTTTCAAGTACAAAGATTTAGTGCTTTGTCAATTTTTTTGGATGCTTCTTTTTTTTGAATACACTGCTTAAGAAAGTTCAAATCTTACTACTGAAGGTGATGCTTGTATATAAAAGGAAATGTACTAAAATATATTGGTTCATTGAAGAGGTGCCCACAATCGATACCCCCACATTCAGATTCACTAGTCCTTCTGAAGATGAGTAGCTAGTTAACCAACAACCACCCCTTTCCTCCCACCAGCTTCATAAAAAACTCTAATGACCACTTAATGGTGTAGTACTCTCATTGTCAAGAGAAACTAGGGGAAATCTTAGGCTACTTTCAATTTTCTTCAAATATCATTACCTCTGGAGCATTTGTCCATGTCTTCAGAAGACTGTAGCCAAGACGAAATCCTGGACTCATTACTTGAAAAGGAAAATGACAAGTTACCTCCGGCTGACAATGAATTCTGTTTGGTCAAGCTGCCTGCCTGTTCCAAAGAACAAATGAATTATTAAAACGCAGTATTTTAATGTTATATGCATAGATTTCAACAACCAACAGTGGAAGACCGTGATCAGGGCTGAAGGAATCAACAACATGGAGGCAAAAAAGTGTATGAGCTAGACTAGGTGTGCAGTTGTTGAGCATAATGTCAGGATATCTAACGTAACTGCTGTCCACAAGCAGTAAAGGAACCGTAATTTTCAGAAAGCCAGATTTTGAGGAAAGGCAAAGTTCTGCATGAGTTAAGTCAACTTAATACAGTTAAAGCACCATATCTGAACAGGACCAGTTGGACATTCTGTTCCTACTCCAAGCTCCCCAAAGAAGCCCCCAAAGTAACTTAAATGTAACATACATATTTGTTGAAGCTGTTTTTCCGTGAAGAAACAAGATCTAACAGATATTATTTTAAAATATCACTCCCTCAAGGTTGTATGACTTTAGCATGGATTTGGCTTGACAGGCCTTAATACATGTGTGACCATACACCTCATCCCAGTAAATACTACCTTTTTACAATATCTCAGTAATCATTTTCAAACTTATCCACACAGAATCAAATAAAATGCGCTGTCCACATGATGTCATTCAGTCCTGTGTCAATTTATATAGTCAGCATGCAAGAGTAGTAAGCAGCAATAAGCATATTTATTTTTAAACTATTTTTAAACTAATGTGTAAATTAGCTTTTCATTGCTACATAAAGCTGTATGAGCTTTAGTCATCTATATATGTATTCTCAAGTAGTAACCCTAGTGCCTTCTAAAGCACAAGTAAGCTGAATTTAAAGATGAGCAATTGTACTGGCATTTTGTGAAAAAATCCCATGTTTCTCTCTTCAGAAATCTATCCCATATAGCCAACTTCTCCAGTACTCATATACATGAGGGGGATGAGCAGGAAGGAAGAAGGAAGTAGGCTTTGCCAAGAAACAGGCAGGAGAGTGTGTGTAGCTCCAGTTAGCATAGTTTTGCTTTTGATCAGCAAGGCTAAGCTTTAGAATCCAAGAATCCCACATGTACATATGTGGATACATACACCTACCTGCCAACAGCAATAAAAACCAGATGTGAAAACTGATCAGATGTTTCTAAAAGCAAATAAAATGCAATGCCAAATTCACTCTACGTATTTTTCTTAAAATAACCTAACTGCTGGATTGATGCAACTAACATCAAGCTAGGCTGGTGTAAATTGGCAAACTTCCATTTAGCTTCAGCAGAGCTAAGGTGATTAACTGCAGCTTAAGAACTATCCCCTTCTATTTTTCACATGAAAATAAGTAAGGCTTCTTTGCAGTGCAAATCTGGGTTAATAAATTAGAAGTGAATTTCATACCAAAGAAGAAATGGTTTGTTTCCTGACATTGAGCACAGATTTTAGACATGGATCACATGGATTCTTTATTTTTATTTAGTTCCTTTTCCTTTTTTTTTTTTTTCATTTTCTGGAGAGCACAGGCATAGATATATCACGGATTTTGCAAAGTTTCACTTTTGCCCTCAATATTCTTCTCCCCTTCTATCCCTGCTGTCTTTTGGGAGAAAAGGACTGAAAGGTCACAGGCGATTTACCATTTCCTTCCGGGGACAGCCTCAGGAGAGAGCAGGCTGTCAGAGGCACAGAGGTGCTGGCACCACAGAAAGCACGCAGACAGCCCTTTGCAGAATAGCCCCATTACCTCAGGGTGAGTCGCTGTTCTTTCAGCTGCCCACTCAAACAGATCCCTTCCCTCTCGAGCAATAGCCAAAAGCTTTTCAGGCACGTTTGTGTTTGGTAAAACTTATGGACAGTTACAGGATAACACTACCAAAGTTACAAACTTTGGAAGTGAAGCCCACTGAAGCCCACTCAGATCATTCAGCAATATACTCAGGGAAAAGGAAACCTTAAGATAAGTGGATAACAAAGAGGCAATTGCTTCGGAGCCACTCCGGAGCTGACAGAAACAGTCATTACAGTTGTAGTAACACAGTATCGCTAAAGAAAACACCATTATTCTCAAAAGAGATCACTGAATCTAAACTGGAGCAGAAGAGCTTCTTTGGGTGAATGTCAATGTCCAGACTCCTGAAGGCACAGAAGCTGTATTCAGGCACAGATCTCTTTCACTCTTCCACAAGACTGCATCAGAGAGGTCAGTTTTGGACTGAGCCTTTGTCAGGTCATTCGTGAATCTTAGTCACAGACTCTACCTGAAGAGTACTTTGTCAGCCAGACCCATCTAGATCCCATACCCACCTACAACATGGTCCTTGGATTGGTCTGAATAATGCTTTTACCTCAGTGAAAAAATATTAAAAGTGGCCACATGTGATGGCTCCTGGATAATTCCTATATACCACTCAGTAGTCAGATTCATTAATGCAGAAAGAGATGTTTCAGTAGCCAAAGGATAAATGAAAAAAGGAGAAAAAGTAAATCAGCTGAATGCTCTTCTGTGACCCAGAGTAACAGTCACCAGCACATATCGGACAAACACTGAATGATGTCAAAAATTATGAGAATTCTAACTCAACATGCAGTTTTAAAAGTCATCACGAAAATACAATTTGCTGTGTTAAACAATGAGAGAATATTATAAGATCTGACAGCACCACAGAGAAAATGGCTTGGGAATAAATCAATAAATATTTTGCTCTTGTCATTTCAGATCATAACTTAAACCCCACCACAAACCTTCATTATGCTCTTTACTTAATAAATATGAATCAGCCAACTTTAATCCCTGATGAAAGGTCTTTATTTATAAATCACAACTATTACCTTTCTACCTGGGGTAGAATCACAGAAACCAGGGACAGAGTCCGTAGTAGTAGACACAGGGAAGAAGAGATTATTGACATCATGAGGAAACATGGAGATTTCGTTCTGACGGTACATCCTGTGATGACGAAGTTTTGCTACCCATTCATCAAACAGCTCCTGAGATTTCACCTACACAAAAATACAGGGTTTACAGCATTCACATGCAAAATCACTAACAAAGAAACTAAGGTATTTTGTACTCATTAGACAGCTGCCCTGGCTGACCTTTACTGAATATCAGAAAAGTTTTTCTAATGATACTTCTACTAAAATGCATACTTATGTGCTTAATCATGACAGAAAATTAATCACAGGATAAAGTCAACAAAATGAGAAACTTGAGTTGGTATAGTTACGACTTCCAATGCAGAACACAACACTTAGCAACTCGTAGATGGAAAAAAAACCAATATAAATTAAAAAAGAAAACATTTGTCATTTCTTAATTGCCATTTTTAAGGTTTAGTCAAGGTTTACCTAACTACAAGTAGAAATTTGATTTTGGTGATGTATTTTAAAACTATTTATTTCACAAGGATAGATAAAGCTGCATACTTGGCAGTGAAAAATGCTTCCTATAGATAAGACAAAGAGCAAGATAAAAGTACTGTAAAAAAAAAGCATTTGTGCAACAAGTGCTTTTGCCGAAAAAAGTGCTGGGTGAAAAGAGTGCTGCCAAATATGAGGCATCTTCAAAGTTTCTATTCAGAACAGGGTTACTGACTCTGGAACAGTACAGTAAGGCCTCTCATGTTACAAAGTAGTGTAAATTAGCCTGCTGAGACTAAAAAGTGGGTTTTTTAATTTAACTAACAGACCTCCACTATATACAGCTAATGAGCTAATGTTGCCATTTTGGGAGGAAGGTTATAACAATCATGAAGATCTACCTTCAGATGGTATATCTGCTCTTCTGTATCCAAATCTATACATTTTGTTGATTTCTTTACAGACATGACAGAAAGTCCAACATCAATACAGCCATGAAGCTTCCCTCTCTCTATCTGCAAAAAAAGTAAGAAGAATACAGTCACTCCAGAATGAAGCAAAAAGACAGATATTACCTGCTGAAACTGTCATTTTCCCCCCTTCGGCCTACTGTTTAGAACTGCTGAAACTCTATTTCCTATTGCCATCAATATGGAATTACTGTTATTTCGGATAAAACAGTGATTTTACTTTATAACAGCCTTAAAAGGTTAGGATCACTTACATCAGCTTGGCATTTAGAATACTTCAAAATCCCTCTGTCCAAAAAGAAGTATCTCTGTAAACAGAAATGCAGGGAATTAAAACCAACTAATCAAGACACCCTAAAAAACACTGAACAAAAACCCATCACACCTTCAACAGCCCCCCACCCCCCCATTTCTTTGGAGAACACTTTCTCTGCTCTTCAGTAATCCTTTTGCCACAAAACCATACCAAGTAAGTCCCACTCTCACGGCATCAGGCTTACAGATACACATTCCTTTCCTACCTTGTGCCAGCCCTTCAAAGGCCATTTCCTCTTTTTCAGCAAGCAGCCCTCCTGCTTCTGTGGCTCCTGGGTATAATTCATTCCTCCCCGGAGCCCTTCTACAATCTCCCAGCTGTCCTGCTTAAACAGAAAATCCAGATGTAGATCGTATTTCTTCCAAAGAACAGAATTGTTAAGAGAGATTCAAGAGGAAAAAGGCCATAAATAAAATTAAAACAAAATAAATTATGCTGAAATCTAACCTTAGATTTCTCTTTATACTTTTTTATGTATCTTCCCAGAGACAAGATTCTTTTCCTTTGATAGAAATGACACAAACCAAACTAAACACTGTTTATATGGCACCATGCTTCACTGAATGTATGTGCTTACCAGAATTTTGTATGTATATTTTTCTATACACACAGTGTATAGCCACAGCCTAGTTACCATTTAGCATAAAAACCATTCTGCAAACAGCCTATGCAAAAAGGACATGTTTTGTAAGTTATGAAGCAGAAATAAGAGACGCTGGAAGTTAAGACCTTTTCTACAAAACTCCTTAGTCTATATTCATCAGCTCAAGGTTTTGTGTTTGGTGTGAATTGCAGCCTCCCTAAAGTAAAAATAATTACATTAAATAAAAACATATAAAAAAACCTAGGGAAGTAACTCAAGTACTTATAAGGACATGACATAAAGGAAGAGTACAAGAAAAATAAAAACCACCCTGCATCAGATACACCTCTAATTAATCTCTCTTTTTGCCATGAGGAGCTCTTAAATGAAAGACCCTGCAGCAACATAACAGAGAAGAGAATGAATGTCATAGTATTTTTACAGTTCTTATTTATGGAAGGACTGCTAATGATAATGTGACCTGAGTTTCAAGAATTCTGATCAGAGATCTCATGAATTATTTATTGCTAGCTACCATAGGATTTAACAAATCTACAACTGTGGACAACGGACAGGAAATGTCATGTGCCAGAACCATCGTATATTTGAAAAAGACAGAATACTTTAACATACAGCATTTAATGACAAAAAAGGAGAAGTATGAAACATTTTTGGGAAAACAAAACTATACCAGGTAGGTACTTGTTGTCCTCTCTGCAAGATACATAGGGAACTATTCTCAAAACGAAATTGCCTGACAGAAAACCCTTCAAACAAAAATGAAACAAGAACCAGCAAGAGCGCTAGTTGTGCTCATTTATCCATCTCCAGAGTCCTTAACATTCATCCCTAGAAACCTAGAAAAAATTACATCAGGTGATATGCTCATTACATTAACAAGGCATAAAGGCAAACCATCTTCAAAAATACATTCATTAAACAGCTTAAAGAATGTGACCTCTTATTTCACCACATTACTGGTGGCACTCCACTATTTAATTATTCTTTTCCCTTGCACTGCACTTTATAGAACAAACTAGAAAGCTGCTCTGCTTCCCAGGCTTGAGTTCACCACACACCACCAGTGGAAATGTGGGGCTAAGCAGCTCCTATCACTCAACATCCTACACACCACCCAGTGATGTTCTACTACCTGAAGGTAAGTCAACTCTGTGGTTGTCCTAACTGAAATTGTTATCACAACACACAAATTCTGCCCCTACAAGCATGGGTTTTATCCTTCTCGGTTTTGTAACTCCCTCAAGTTTGAGAGAGATTTTCACAGCTACTCAGATACCCTTATTTCTAACCAACATTACTGAAATCATATTTTTCCTGTTGAAAATCAGAAGCCACACTCCATATTCTTTATGTAAATATTAGACCACTAAATAGTTTCTGCAGTGGTCTTCTATTTCTTTTCCCTGTTAAATACTATTTACTAACCCTTACATAATCACAAGGGCTGAGACTGTTATTATGACAGAGAGCCTCTTTAAACATAATGAAATAAACTATAATGCTACAATTTACATTAACTTTAGTAATAGCTGAGCTTACTCCTGCTTAACTGTCCCCATGTGGATAAAAGCTCATCTCTTCAGAAAACATGATCTATTAAATGAGCCAATATAAAAAGTAATCTTGACATTAGATGACTTCAAATTATGGACTTGGATAAAGTTAAACATTCTAAAAAGCAAGAAACCTGATGGAACTAGTGAGAGAGAATTCTCATCAAGAACTAACAGGAGTACCTACAAGATTAAGAAAAATGTTGCATTTATGTTTTTATTCCTTTTTTTTAAATTAGCCAGAAGAGTTTAAAAGCTGTTTTGCCTGATGACCAAGCAAGCTATTTCCCTTGGCTTCACCAAAATATATTAAACTGCAGTACCCAAACACATAACTTTTCCACTGAGAACTAATCTAAGTCAAGAATAGTGAACAAGAGATACTTTTCCATATTCTAATATTATATCTAATGAAACAACTTTCTTAAACTTCATATCAAGTTCTCAAAATATTTTTGTTAAGCTTAAACACAGTATATGGTTGATAGAGTGGTCTGCTTGCTGGAGACAAGCAGAAATTTGACCACAATCAAATCAAACACAAGAATCCAGATTCATCTTTCTTTAAGAACGAGTTAGAAAGAAAGGGACTCCTGAAGTGAGACAGACCATGCTGCATTGTGCATATGAGGTGAAGAGAAAGGAAGCAGCTGAGAAACAGCTCAACCAATTACATCTACCTGGAATATACATGGTGTCAATAGTTTTAGTCAGACTTTAAAATAAGGAGCATATCCTGGCCTGCATTGCAACTCCACTTTTGTCTGGGCTTCCCTTGCAGTCGAGACACAAGGTGTGTCCCACGTTTCTGCAGGAAACCCACATTTCTCACTGTTCTTCAGGTCAGTGAGGTGGCCAAGAATGTGCCTTCACAACTAAAAAGTGTGAAAACAGGAAGGAAAGCTAAAGTGGTAGCACTTCTTCCCATCAAGCAGGCCCAATGGCCTGCTAAATCTCAGGTGGTGAATGCAAGTCTCCTACTCACGCTTCAATTGCAAGCTTTATGTAAAGGCAGCTTTGTTGAATTAAAAGCATATCCTTCTAAAAGCACAAAATTATTTAATAACTATATTACCCAAGGGAGGGCAAGGAATAGCTCAGAGGATAAACAGCTGCAAGATGCAACACTGTGTTAACAGCATCTGGTCCTCTTCTATGTATGTCTGTCCAGAAGAGCCCAGCCTTTTCCACCTGAACCCCCAAACTCCACATTTTTCGAAACACTGCTGCTGTGACTGCTTTTGGGTATGTCCACTCTTCACCCAGACCCTACAGGGTATTGGATCAGTATTTTGTTTTGCAACAGATCTGACACCTCATTTAATGAGAAATAAGCATCAGTTGGCTACTGCTGGGAGCAGCTGCAGAAGTGAAAGAAAAGTGTTTACTCTCTAAAATTAAGGCAAATGAATGAGGCTGATCGGTTATCACCTATTCTTATCTGTTTGAAATAACAGAAGAACAAATTTAGCTGGTGAATGAAGTTGCTAAGCCAATGTCCATTATATTTGAAAAATCATGGCAGTCAGGTGAAGCTCCCGATGACTGGAAAAAGGGAAACATAACCCCCATTTTCAAGAAGGGGAAAATGGATGACCCAGCAAATGACAGACCAGCCAGTCTCACCTCTGTGCCTGGCAAAATCTTGGAGCAGATTCTCCTGGAAGGCATGCTAAGGCACATGAAAAACAAGGTGCTTGGTGACAGCCAGCATGGCTTCACTAAGGGGAAATCCTGCCTGACCAATTTGGTGGCCTTCTATGATGGGGCTACAGAACTGATGGACAGAGGTAGAGCAGCTGATATCATCTACCTGGACTTGTGTAAAGCATTCAGCACTGTCTCCTTGTCTCTAAATTGGAGAGACATCAGTTTGATATGTGGACCACTTGGTGGGTAAAGAGCTGGCTGGATGGCTGCATGCAAAGAGTTGTGGTCCAATGGCTCAATGTCCAGCTTGAGACCAGTAACGAGTGGCGTCCCTCAGGGATCGGTGTTGGGATCAATCCTGTTCAACATCTTTGTTGGTGACATGGACAGTGGGATTGAGCGTGCCCTCGGCAAGTTTGCCAGTGACACCAAGCTGTGTGGTTCGGTTGATACCCTGGAGGGAAGGGCTGCCATCCAGAGGGACCTCAACATGCTTGTGAAGTGGTCTGTGACAAGTGCAAGGTCCTACACCTGGGCCAGAGCAATCCCAGGCACAGCTACAGGTTGGGCAGAGAAGAGGAGAAGGTACCTGGGGGTGTTGGTCGATGAGAAAATGAAAATGAGCCAGCTTCATTGTGCGCTCGCATCCCAGAAAGCCAACCGTATCCTGGGCTGCATCAAAAGGACCGTGATCAGCAGGTAGAAGGAGGTGATCCTGCCCCTCTACTCTGCTCTCGTGAGACCTCACTTGGAGCATTGTGTGCAGTTCTGGTGTCCTCAACATAAAAAGGACATGGAACTGTTGGAACAAGTCCAGAGGAGGCCACGAGGCTGATCAGGGGACTGGAGCACCTCCCATATGAAGACAGGCTGAGAAAGTTGGGGCTGTTCAGTCTGGAGAAGAGAAGGCTGTGTGGAGACCTCACAGCAGCCCTCCAGTATCTGAAGGGGGCTATAAGGATGCTGGGGAGGGACTTTCACTAGGGACTGTAGTGACAGGACAAGGGATAACGTGTTAAAACTTAAATAGGGGAAGTTAGATTGGATATAAGGAAGAAGTTCTTTACTGTAAGGGTGGTGGGGCACTGGAATGGGTTGACCAAGGAAGTTGTGAATGCTCCATCCCTTGGCGGTGTTCAAGGCCAGGCTGGACAGAGCCTTGGGTGACATGGTTTAGTGTGAGGTGTCCCTGCCCATGGCAGGGGGGTTGGAACTAGATGACCTTAAGGTCCTTTCCAACCCTAACGATTCTATGATTCTATGAAATTGGAGATCGAGGATTTCCTGAAAGCTACTGAAAGCATTCAGATTATTGTCGATTCTGCTGATTCCTATCCCACAACAGGGAACTGAAAAAGACACCCCAAACTACAGTGCTAAACTAAAAAAAAACTCAAACAACCACCACCCCAAAAAACCCTCCAGAACTCCCAGCTGAATGGCATTAACACAGAATTCTGATGTCCTGATTGGTCATGTTTGAACGCTACAACCCTAGAAAATATCCTGTATCATTATGGGCCAGTATCTGCCCAAGACGATCAACACTGCATTTGCTGCCCAGGCAAAAATTTCACTCAAGCCCAAGGGATGAGCACACACTTCTTAACTTTTCTCAGGTCCAAAGTTGTTCATTTCAGATCAGCACCGGAAAAAAATCACCCTGTAGTTGCTAATTGACTTATACCTCCTCTTGCTGAATTAAAAAGACCCATACACTTTGGTCATCAGAGATAAGCCTGTCATTATGTAACTGTAGTAATTTTCTTTGTTTAATAATACAAAAGCCTCTTCATTTTCTGCATTATTCTATACTGTATAGCTCCTCAAGGTGGATTATTTCAAAAGAAAGAATGAAGTAATGAGCTTGAATGGCTCTCAGACCAAAGCTTGCTGTTGCAACTCCCTGAACGAAACAGATGACAGTGCCAGATTTTCTTCCAGTGTAAAATGCAGTCAGTTGTACAGAATATTTTAAAGTGCCAAGAATAGAAACCTGCTTTGTGGAGGGTAAGGGCTGGCATCAGCTGCAACTAAAGCATTTGTTACAGTTCATAAAATGGGCAGAAATGATTTAATTTTCTTTTTTAGAACATCAGTTTTTTTAAGCGGCGCTCCAGACATAAACCTTTTCCCTACTGAATCTATTTTAAGAGTTACTTAACATATTAGACTTAAAAATAACTGCCACCATCTTTTGATCACAGGTCAATTTAGATGTAAAGATCAACACCAGCTTTCCTTCCTTCCTCACAAAATACAGTTTGAGCTATGGCTTCATGCAACAGATCCCTGTCCATGACTGAAGGAGGGACAGAGAAGAGCAGGGAGGTGGGAAGTGGCAGTAGCCTCTAACCTGCTATGGGGCTTCAAGGTGAATTTAGTGGAACAGGATTAACTGTTAACCTTTTCAGTTCACAGTGCAAATGTATCTGGCAGAATGGGGGCACCAAGTGTAGCAAAAGAAGGAGAACACCCACCCCCACCCCCCCCTCCAAGTCCTGCAATCCTGCTGAAGTCAACTCTTTTCTAACACATTCTCCTATCTTCTGCACGGAACTGAATTTTAGCAGACACAGCAGCCTTACACTACTGTGGTTCCACGTGCAAACTCAGGTCGCTTACTATATAGAGCTAGTTCGTATCAGCAGCAGCCTGTGCCTCAGAAATCTGAGAGGCTTAACATGCAGATCCCACTATTCTGGGGACAACCAACCCCACCCCACTCCCAGAATCTCCCAGTCTTCCCTCTGCATTTTTCAGAATGCCTTTCTTCTTAATCAGATTAAAAGAATTTCTGTGTCAGACCAGTAGCACAGAGAAAAGCACCCATAACGCAGATCTGTCATTAAGCTGCAGTGAGCCTAGCCCTGAAGGTCGCCAAGAGAGGTGCAAGTGTTTGAAAGAGGAGCAAGAATTTCTCCATGGAGCTGGAAGATGAAGCAAAGAGTATCAAAATCACAGCACATCACTCTTAATCTGCACATCATAAGGCAAAATTATTTAAACTTTCATGATATTATTAATAAAGTACCAATAACAATGCCATATTGTACTCTTCTACGGACTTTGACGGAAGGGGAAGCTCCTGGAGGCCTATATTGCACGTGTGGTACTTTCTGGATTAGGGGATTTTTAACAGTTTTAGGAAACGGCAGATTGTTGCTGTTTTCTTAATAGAACACCTGAAGTGCTGTCATTTCAACTAACACACAGATGAAAAGGGCAAATTAAATAACTCTCAGACATTACTATCACTCAGCCTTGTCAGCCCTGCATAGGCGGGTATTAGTTGGGACAGACCGTGAAGCTCCAATTTACCAATAAAGAGGCTGAGTGAGAAAAGAAGTAGTTAATGATATAAACAAAACTACTTCATCAGCTGTGACAAGAAATTATCTGTGGGAAGGGGGGAGCAAAGAGACAGGACATAAGAAAGTTGTAACACCCTCACTGCCCAGACTAACAATTTAGATTTTATAATACACCTTATACTATATGATTTACACTACACTACTATATGATTACTACACTAGAGAGGGTCTATCTAGAAAGGTAAAAATCTTTATCATCTGCAAGACCAGAGCCTTTTAGAGAACAGCAACAGGGAGATTTCCATTCCTCACCCAAAGCACTCCTGTGTCCAGGCCAATAAGTATTGCAGAGTACTGGCTCTGCTACACCTAAATGTCCATCTTTCCACATGCAGCACAGAGGAGTATATCTAGGATCAAAATGGAGTTACTTATCACAATGTTCCATATTATCACTTCAATATATCTTGGGAAACAACCTACTTTATACCTTCATTTAGCCTGACCTGACAGGTGTATGAGGCAATCTGCCATCTGCCTGACTACAACGAATAAGGACGGATGCATCAGGAATACAAACAAACCACCAGGTTGCATCTCTCACCTTGGACAGGTACACCTTGCATTTTTGTAAAAGGATCAAAGACTGAAAAATTGGGGATTGACAAGATGACATTAAACCCTCCTAAGTTATTTCTTCTGTCCAAAGAGAGCAGGTGAAAACAGAATGGATAAGAAATGGGACCCACTAATAATAGTATATATAATAGAAACTGCTTCTGCATATGTATTGTAGCTTATACAGGCTGTGTAATACACCAATGGGTTTAGTCATGCTCATGTAAATCTTACTATTTAAATACTACATGATAAACACTTGACAGACAGGAACTGTTGAAACAGACAATATGAAACGTTTTAAATTACACTTTTCAAAGGTACTCTCATACCGAGGACATAAAAAATTAATGTTTCAGGAAAACAAAAAAGGCACCCTGACAGCAAGGATTTTTTTGCTTGGTATCCTGGAAATGCACAGCATTTCTTACAGGCACAGCACTTCAAAATGCATCACTTGTTCAGATTTGTCTGCCTCGCCAATTGCACGTACAGTCACAAGTCCCTGAAAAGCAAGTGCTATTTCAAAACACAGCTGAGGTCTCCAAAGCTTTCTGGGGTTTGGGATGCTCAATTTCAATTAAAATTTTGACCTGTGCAGGTTCAAGAGCTCCACTAAGCCAGCATTGGTACAAATCAAAGTTTACCTTGAGCATAGTGCTCATGATTTTGCAAGCATGGATTGAGCATTTTTAAGCTTAATTCTCAGCATGGCTGCAGTTCAACATTTCTTGCCCACAAACAAAAGCTGTCTTCAGCAGCCTCACTCTTCAGGTGCAAACACTCATAGACATGTCTTTTAAAACTATAATGGTTAAAGAATAGCATCACCTCTGCAAAAACAGAGGTGATGCTATTCAGGTGCAAACACTCATAGACATGTCTTTTAAAACTATAACGGTTAAAGAACAGCATCACCTCTGCAAACAACAGAGCATCCTTTGCATTAGGCATTCAGATGAATCATGTGACACACACTTGTTTTCAAAAGTATAGTTTTACAACAACCATCACACACAAACATACACAAACACCTTTTTGTTCTCAAAACTCTGGTAAGTTTCAGAAAAATGTGTTTTCACACGTGCATGTACCCCTTTCCCTAGAAACTTGAAATAAGAAGAGCAATTACACAATGACACAAAAGTGGTATCTTACAGGGAAGATACAGAATTCCAGCATCTGAGACCTATGGCAGCAATATTTCACTATAAAGACACCACAAATACAACATGATAGAAATTCACATTCACTGCTAGCATTTCAGTTTTACAAATGCCTGCTATTCAATAATGTGTGTTTACTGCATATGACTCAAAATAAGAAGAAATAAGAAAAAAAGAGTAAGGAAAACAAAGAAGTGATAACATAAGATAAGCAAGCAACAGAAAAACAGAGTTTAAGAGATCTACTGATATTGAAGAGCAAAAGTAACAGCTAATCTTAGTAATGTTTTCAGTTTGGTTAAGAAGGTTTGCATTACCTGTCGACTTCCCTGCTTGGAGGAGCAGCTGCTAGTACTTCTTGAAGGAGACAACATTTTCTGGGATGCACCAAAGTTTTTTTCCTCACTCATGATCCAATGCTATTTGTTTCGCATAAGCTCACTTAGAACACCATTAAAAGGTAATTTAGAAAACGTGTTGGAAGACTCCTGAGAGCAATGCAGAACTCATCCTTTACCCAAACGCAGTCCTGCAGCATGATCTGCATCCCATGGAAATTCCTAAAAAGAAGAGAAAACCAAAAAGCCAAGTTATTAGATGTTGTCTCTTACTGCCAGCCTGTAGCATGAATCATAAATAAAGCCTTTGGTAACACAAGCTGGCCGCATTACTGCACATTATTATAAATTATTCCAACAATCACTTTCAGATAGATTTCCAAGTCTCAAACAGGAACAACAAGTTTTGAATACGAAGTGTACGCTTTGGTTGTCACTGTTTATTCAGAAGATAAAGTACAGTATAAAGGATCTTTTTAAGGATTTAAATTCATTAAACATTCATAGAGTATAAATGTATCTATCTAAAATGAACCAAAACAGTCTCAAAATGAGAAGAAATCATTAATAAAATGTCTCACAAGGACGATGACACCGTTTTTCCCTGTTCCTTGATAATTTAAATAAGCAAGCATGGCTTCAGGTTGCAAAGAAAAAATAAATAAATAAATCTCTTTCTATAACAGAGCAATACATTAAAGCAGTGAGCATGGAAACTCAGCTGCTCAGAGCTGTTCATGACCACTCTCACCTGGAATCAGAAAGTTGTAATCATTGTCACATCAGTTGTATCAGTCAGTGACTGGAAGAATAACCACCAGCCTGTTTAATAACACTGTTGCTTGCAGCATATGCAAATAAAAGCCATGCCAGAAACTCGCACTAAGGGATTTCCAGTGTGGGCCAGAGTTGTCATGGTAACTGCATATGGTTTTTAAAACCAAACAGAGGACATGACAAAAGGGTGATGCTTTCCAAAACTTGGGGTGGTGGAGAAACTTTTATAAATTTTGTATCATTTCAGGGTTTATTGTCTTGGGTGAGTGTCCTGGGTTCAGCAGTAGCAGTCATTTTTCCCCTTCTTGGTAGCTGGTGCAGTGCAGTGTTTTGACTTTCAGCTTGGGAACAGAGCTGATAGCGATGTTTTGGTTTGGCCAAGGACTTTGTGAGCCTCATGCTCTGCCAGGGAGGAGGGGAAGCTGTGAGGAAGCAGAGACAGGACACCTGACCCAAACTGACCAAAGAGCTATTCCATACGACAGCACGTCATGCCCAGGATGTAACTGGGAGTTAGCCGGAAAGGCTGGGAGACTGCAGGGTTGGAGGAGGTATAGGTCGGTGCTTGGTCGGGCTGAGGGGGGCAAGTTATCGGTCGGCTGGTGCTGAGGTGTTGTATTCTCTTCCCTTGTTATTTCCTTTATCATTATTATTATTGGTGGTAGCAGTAGTGATTTGTGTTATACCTTAGTTACTAAACAGTTCTTATCTCAACCCGTGGGAGTTGCATTCTTTTCGATTCTCCTCTCCGTCCCTCCGGGAGCAGGGGGAGGGCAAGAAAGGGGGGGGAAGTGAGTGAACGAGTTACCTGACTGGGTTTAAACCACGACAGTTCGGAATTTACACGTTAGGAAGAGTGCAAGAGCCACCACACTGAGGAAGGCAGAGATGTTTCCACGAAGAGAAATTTCATTGCTGAGACAGGAAGGCATTACTTCACAATCTCCTCATGCTGCCAGCAGTCCTGAACTAGGATCACGGCACTGAAGTTTGCCATGCTTTTTTTTTAAGAGTCTTAAAAACCTATTCTGAGAGAAGCAGCAGCATTTTCAGCTCCCTAGTGAAGCACTTCACATGTTTTAAGAATTCAATTCCCGTTAAAAAAAGGAAAACAAAAACCAAAAGACCAGACAAAACCCCACAAATAAAACCAGGTGCTATATTTAAGATGAAGACAGCACTATGCTGCAGAAAACTTCTCTGCTGTAGTCTGAAGCAACCAACTGCCAGAGACCTTTTCCAATCTGCAGTGCCCCTTTGACAGTACAGTTTTCTGTAACATTTCAACCAACATGCCCTCTTTTCACCTGAAACAACGTCACTCTTCGTGGCATTGACCTTACCTAGTTAGAAATACTCAATTACCTCCAGACAGAAATCTATTAGCAACAGTAATGAATCAGCCCCAGTCGCCAAAGGTCAGGTGAGAAAGCGAGCTCTGATGGGACTCTCCCTTGTGTGAATCAGCCTGGCAACTACTTCCAGGAACCATCTGACAGGTACAAAGCCAAGGAGCACAAGCAAGAGCCAAAGAAAACCTGAACACCAAAGTGATGTGAAAGCAAGGCCTGAACTGGGCCTAACATAAGGGTTTTACACTGAAATTACTACTGAGATTAGGAATAGTACATTTTGCAGAAGGCATAGTCCCTTTCTATCCATAAAATGAATTTGTGTGGCATGTCATTAAGAACTAGCACTTTTAATAGGTTTAAGATTTATCACACTTCATGCAGGTTTTTGACTGGAGTAAGTATAACTTCCTTGCTTAGTTTTGAGCTGTATTCAGTGAAACAGTTTAACGATAACATCTCAAGTAACAACCAATGATCAAATATTCACAACAGGAACAGAAACACACTTCCTGCAAATTCATCATTCAAATGCCCCCTTGAAACTACTATGCAGCAGGTGTTTTGCCTTTTTGGCACACTGATTGCTCAGATAACAGCTCCATGATCCAAACAAGCACTTTATCACATGGCTTTCATTGGTGACTATCCGGCATTTTGGCAAAGACTGCAGAGTTCATGGCAAGAAGACATTCTAATTTGCAGCAAAATGCACTGGGAGCTGCTGTCATTAGTACTGTATGAATCTATCTCCAGAGTACACTAGATTTAAATTATACAATGCCCTTTTCCTATTGGAACACACAGCACGAATGTTGTGATGTCCTGGAAGCATCAGGTAAATGAAAAAAAATTGAGGTCCTGAATTTTAACACAAATCAAATCCATTTTGAATGAAATGTGCTCCAGGAGCACATCCAGGGCTCAAAGCTTTGAGTGCACAGCACCAGACTACAGCTAGTCCTGACTAGTCCCTTCCGGGTGAAGATGCTGGGTCCTCACCTTTAACTGAATGACTACGAAGGTCCATTTTGACTGCACTTGCTAACATAGACGTCATCTAGTCACACTCTTACTCCACCAAACTGAGTGCTTAAGATTTCCTCCGGCAATGTCATTTGTCCTTCTGGAATCAAAAAGAGTGACAGGCACTTTTCCAGAATTCAAATGAGCTGAAGGTGACTCAGCCACCTAATCAGAGGTGCTTATGCAAGGGGCAGGAGGCAGGCTAAGCAGCCCCAACTTTCTCAGCCTATCTTCATACGGGAGGTGCTCCAGCCGCCTTATCATCCTCATGGCCCTCTGGACTTGCTCCAACAGTTTCATGTCCTTCTTACGTTGAGGGCACCAGAACTTCACCCAATACTCCAAGCAGGGTCTCACAAAAGCAGAGTAGAGCAGCAGGATCACCTCCTTCAACTGAGGCAAAGAAGTCATTAAGAACCTCAGCCTTCTCCAAATCCAGGGTAGCCAGTCCTCCCATTAGCTTCTAGAGAGGGCCCACGTTGTCCCTAGTCTGTCTTTTGTTTGTGACATATCTATAGAAGCCTTTCCTGTTATCTTTCACATCCCCTGCCAGATTAAATTCTGTCTGGGCCTTAGCTTTCCTGGCCTGATCCCTAGCATCCCACCAATGACAATGGACATGTCCCTGTATTCCTCCCACGCCGCCTGTTCTTGCTTCCACCTTCTATAAGCTTCCTTTTTCCTCCTGAGTTTTCTCAGTAACTCCTTATGCATCCATGGAGGCCTCCTGGCCTTCTTGCCCATTTCCCTCTTGTCAGGATGCAACGCTCCTGAGCTTGGAGCAGGTGATCCTTGAAATTAGCCTTGAATGTATATCCACATATATATATATATATATATAAAAATAATATATATATATCTCCTTGAATATTCATCCAGGAAGGTGTGAAAACACTGATCTTGCACCCAGAGCTGACTCTCATAGTCTGGCTGCCAAGAGCAGAGACTAGGCTTCTCTAGGGCAACTGATATTTCACATTACCTGTGGAATGTAAGGCTACCAGTTACAAGAGCAATTACAACTTTAAAGCAGCCACGAAAATCAGTATTACGCTAACTAAGCTAAGATCTTGCAGATAAAATTGATGTTTTGATGTCATCATGATTCAACTGCTTCAGGTTCAATACATTTTGCTCCTCCTCATGAAACAGGACAGCCTCTGTGAGAACTGTATTTTTCCCACCTTTACTCTGGAGCAGACACTGCCATTTACTTTGGCCTACCCAAAAAAGACCAATCAAAGGTGTGAGGCTGAGGCAAATCCAAATCAATTCAGGAGAAGAATTTCCACAAGTGCTAAGTATTGGCCTAATTCTTCGCTATTAAGTCAGCAGCAGTAAAAGTAGGCCGAGTGCTTTTGCAAATGACCTCGCCAGGTGCATTTTAAAGAATTAAGAATACATGAGTACCAAATATTATTTATAGCTACTACGTCCTAAACCCATAAGCATCACTTATCTCTACTTATCATCTGTTACTAAGAGCCTTATCATTCTGCATCAATTAAAGCTAATGTAAACATCTAATAATACATACAACAGGAAGACCTATTTAAAAAAGTACTTCCCTGAGTTGTCCTCAAACCTTTAAAATTGCACAGCTTCAAAGCCACCTCTCAGTATCATAACTCATCTCCTGCAACTCTCAAAGTAATCAGCTGACAGCAAAATCCAAGTTTTTCCACATTTCACATAGAAGAAAGGCAGAAATTCAAAAGAAAAGGAAAACTGCAGTAGAAAAATTAAAAAAAACAAAAAATCAACATTACGCAGTTACTTTTGTTATGGGTCTGGGAGAAAAATAAAGCCTTAACAGCTGCTTCAGAGATGATTCAGCAGTGGAAGAACACTGTGGAGAGATTTTGAGCAGCAAAACTGAAAGTGTACATCTCATTCTGTAACTGTAGTTAATTAAGGCTTTGTGATTAGAATAGGCACAACAGAACGCGTGATGAGAGTCATGTGGACACAGCAAGCACAGGACTGAGCAATCCAAATCAAAGTTGCAAGCAACATTGACTGACTTTCACAGAACTAAAAAAGAATCTGTTCTGAAACCTTTGCTTG